ATGTGGTAAAAACGAAATGCTGGGTTCCACTAAGTTCTGCTGTCATTGTAATGTCGGATTATCCGGCTCTAACTGGTGTCATTTAAAGGTAGATGAGCTGTTGCCATTGCCTTCAAATTCAAGTGCATTCTTTCCTAAGTTAGGTGAGAAGTCACCAGCATTTTTAATCATCAAGTGCCCCTTTGATGTCAACGTCCCATGAAACATCTCATTTGCATATTTTCTGCCTATAATTTTTGTATGCAAGGGCTTTAACGCAACTTCGGGTCAATGCACGCAAGTAGATTTAAGTAATTGTGTACTAAGATTGAGCAGATAGAAGCCATGTTTCCATCATATAGCACCAAGACTATAAGATAGTGTAGCTGACAATGTGTTTTCACTTGTCGGTAGATTCACCGGCTGATGTATGGGTCAAAGATGCCATTTCCTATGATGGTTAATGCACTTTGAATTGTTCATTCTTCTCGCCTGCGATAAAATTGAGGCAACTGAAGCAAATTGCTGAACGGTTGCAGTCAACTAGCCGGATGCCTGTTTACTTGTCATGTCCAACTAAAAAAGCCAGCCGATAGTGGTTTTCCCATGTACCAATTGGGAAGATGTGACTCAGTCACTTGAAACCAGGGCGAAACATGTCGCATTTCACAGGAAATCGGACGAAGGTTAGCACAGCGGTGAAGTTACTGCTGCTGAAGCAGTAGTAGTAGTGACAACCATTCATGGCGAAGACGTAGTGGAATGTTATTTTTGCTGGTTGTGTTGCGCAAATATTTGGCACTTCCTGTCTCCTCCAAAGCAGATTGAACCTTCTGTAATACGCCGTCATCCTTCACCGTATTACGAATTTTGAGTCAAATTTACTGTGGTAACGTGTAGGCAAGGTTTTAACTAGTCTACTGTGGGTCTCCTGTTTCTAAGTAACCGCTTTGTAAAAGACCATGTAGATGTAACTAGTAGAAATAGCGTCTGAATTCGGTGTCTCCTAGGAATACAGGGGACTAATTTCTTAAATCAGGGCAACAAATTAAACGAGGGAACCTAGGCAATCCAAGTGTAGATGCACCTCTTTAGTAGCCTTCACTTTCTGATCATAAGTGACTCCACAACGCTTAGTCCAACCAAGATTTATGCCAAAATACTAATGCTGAAATGTGACAAATCCTTGACCACCGTATTTTAACTTGAAAAGTGGCTCGTATGAGCTGAAGGTGATTTAATCTGAACTCCAATATGCTGTCGTTAAAGCCTTTACATTCTCAACAGTCACTATTCTCTACTAATGTTTCCCAAAAAAATATCATTTGCTTGTTAAAATAAAGCGAATGTGAATGTAAACTCAATTTAATGTAATAACAAGGCAACTCATTTGACCTATTTCTGTCTCACTCGGGAATGTCGAGTGGAAATTCACCGCATTAAATGCACTCAGATTGTGGAGGTCACATCCAAGAGACATCCCTCTTGCTATTCAGATACGCACCGAATGGAAGTAGTTTACTAAACTAGGCGTCAATGGAACCAGCTAGATCTATTTGTAAACAGGCTGCTGCAAATACTTCAGTTAAATAAGCTCTATTAAGCACTCTCTACTCACCAGCTTTCAGCCTTTTTAGGCAGCCATGAAAGTTACTTGTCATTTGTCTTGATTACACAATGCAAAAATTCAGGGTTTTAGGCGGTGCCTCACAGTTGTGAGTTCTGGTTCCACACTCTGGATCCTCCTGACAAGCGAAAACGCATGCATACTTTTATTTACGCATGTGTGCAGACAATCGTGGGTATGGAAACACATACACGACAGATCAAATGTAGGTCATCCGACCCTAAGGAGAGTTAATTTGGTGTGCATGCCCAGGTCTAAGTAGATGCCCCACACACCGACACCGGAAACGGATTCAAGTAGGGCATGTGGTAGAGGAGGGCAAGAAGGACAGAAGAATGGAATCGTGCCTAAAACAACCCATTATTGGGGATTAATGAGTCCTAGTGATGTGTCTAGGTATTACCTTCTAGATTCCTTCTGTAGGAGAAGAGACATTCTCCAGTATTCTTGATGTACGTAGTGTTTGGAAGGATCTTCTTCTCTAACTTAAATGCTAATTTTCATTGGATCAATCCAGGATCCATTTTAGGCTTTTTGCAGTTAATCGCCACTGGCAGAGTTAGCACCTAGCCAGTCGTAGCAGGAATTTACCCATTTGGATAAGTTTTATCACACAGCTATTATTAATGCAGATGAATATTTGCGGTCAAGGTATATGCTAAACCATTCCTTCAAGATGGTGGCGTAACCCGCGGCTGCTCTGATGCTTAGGCTGACAAGCCAAATGTACTTCATTGAACAACAATATTTAGCTGTGGAAGTAACCGCATGATTTGTGAGGTAGTCGAAAGCGTATAAAGAGACGACTAGGCGCCTGCTTGAAGAGGATCCGAAGAGGTAAGTACAGTCTCCACTATCCGCTGTTAACAAGTAAAGAGTGCGAGTGCAACAGCTGAGGGTGATATGATGGATAGCTTTGATGACAACACACAAACTGACCGCTGACAAACATCTGCAAGTAAATCGGGTAGTCCATAGACTTCTCGGCATGGGCCTATACGGACGCATAAAAATTACCGATTAACACATCAAAGGCACCGACAATCGCTGGTAGCTAAGTGGAAAGAAATATCAAGCCACTTACGGTAAATATCGAAAAACCAAGGCAAAAAAGGACGTCATTATGATGTCAGGCGTTGCCGGTTTAATAATCAACTTAGGAGATGCATGATGATCTTCCCACTCGCAGCACGAATCTAGTAAGTGACGTGTATGTGTAGATGGGATAACAAGGAAATGTTGCCTTTACCCACTTGGGCAGTTTACATGAGCTTCACAACTTAATGTGTATTGTATCCTGTGTTGATGGACCCAGTTTTTCCAAACCAGACGACTGAAGTAAGCGAATTTGCCTATAACCCGCAGTATACAATCGAAAAAGGAATTTATACAATATTCCACGCCACAAAATCTATTGCTACAGTAATGCATAAGTCTTCTCGACAGATGTTAGCTGTTCCCATAATTCAATAAAACTAAAGCGAAGGTTTCAAAAGGTGACATGTCACTGAGGAGCATAAATTCACTCCTGGAGCAGTAATTGCTTGGCTACGGTTCCTATACTCCGTCATTTGCACTGAATGGAGATGCTAGTGGTACGGGAACAGAATCCGTATTTCTTTAAAACAATACAGAATGAGGACTACGCGTAGTAGTCTATGACAGTATGATTTTTTAATCCCTGTTGCCTATACTGCGAAACTGGGAAGAGACCTAAGAAAGCTCTCCACAAATGTCTGTTAATGACAATATTTCTTTAAACGTTTCTTTAAAAAGCACGATTGAAGTAGATTACGCAAACAGCCTTATTCAAGGGACTGCTGATAGCATAATCTTTGACAGACCTTCAGGAATGAGTGGTCATGCAAACTGTTCCATCGAAAAGTAATGATATGCTTTGCTGGTAACTAGGTGACATGTTCTTCTAGTAGCTGCGATTGGGGGCATTTAACAAAAGAGTGATTTTGCAAGGATTCACCCTTATCATATTTCCATGAAATACAATTTTAAAAAAAATAACTGGTTCGTCCTTTGATTACTCCGTTTAGCCTAGGATGAAGCCTGTTGCATTTCCAGTTTCTTCCCAAGAATAAGACAAGTCCCGGAATTCCTAATTTGCTACATTATGTGCCACGAATTGTAAGGAAAATGACATCAGGTGAGATTAGATGAGCAGTACACTAAGACTAAACAGTGGACTCGAAATAAAGCTTTACTTCATGAAATTCTGACCAATACCACCTCATGATCAGAAGCAGTGAATTAACTACCAGGAATGTCCTGCCACTTGAGTGGTATGATGCACTACCACTGCAGGGCTCCTTCGGCATCTCAACTACAAACGACTTGGCATGGCATGACCTCCACTACAACAAATATCTGTGTCCAACATCAGTGAACGGAATCCAGTAAAATCCGGTCTCCAGCTCATCAAATCCTCATAAAGAATTGAAAAACCAGTAAAAGAAGTGCTCCAATTTCGTGTAAAGGGTTGCCTTCAAAGCATATGAGGTTATACACTGGGGCGAAGTCATTGGTGACTCTGCAGGTATGTATTAGAGCAAAGGATTAACCAACGATGGTAAGTCACACTTAAACCAACTTCAAGGCGATCAAAAAGTAGGCAAGAAACAGAGGCAAAAGCGAAAAGCGAACTCGCCATTTTTTAGTTGTTAAGTTGTGAATATCACATAACCTCGACAAACATCACAACCGTTTAGTGCATGGGTGTACGCATTAGATGTGATGTGAATCTGTTCAATAAAATCATGTTAACAGAAGCTGTCATCACTTGGCGCTCCTGTGGTATTAGCGCCACATCAGGACTAAAGCCTACGTTACCGCAACAGTTAGGCTGACAACCTTAATTTCTGCGGTTAAATGAATTTTGTGAGGGAAAATAAAACATACTACTTTCTACCAACACATAACAAAGTGCAAGCAAATGGCGCGAGCACCAATTTAAATAAGGTTCAACTACCTCTCCAAACGTAGCAATTTTTAAAGTTGGTAAGCATAAAAGTGGACAATAAAACCCGCAACTAATACTGGAATTTGAATTAACAAAAAAGACAATAGGATAGGAATGCAATTGAGAGCAGACCTATAGTGCCAGTGTAGGAGGAGGCTGGTAGATCTCCGCTCCCCTAATCCTCATACTCTTAGAGCACCTAGGCAAATAGGGAAAGCCGGCACAGAGTTTAGGGGGGTGTGGACACGTAACCGCTCCTCGGGTTGCAGGTCATTGACTCCTCAGTCACGAGGTCCGATTCGTATGCCCGCCTCCTCTCTGAAAGAAAAATTAAAACAACACAAGTATTACACGTACACTTCAAGGTTGTGCTAATGAGCTTGAAACGCAGGAGACTTATTTGAGCTGGTCCCTAGTGTCAGGATGTGTGATGCAGATCCTAATTTTGTTGACTTTACAAGTCTTATTGGCGATCAGGGTACAAGCATGGAGAGATATTCAACTCGTCGAGACCAGAATATGCCCCTCAAGTACACGTCAGAAACGGGTTTACATTTAGTTTCCGCCTATTTTTTTCGGTTTTGCAAGCAAAGGATAAAATATCGCAGCACCCACTACGATGCTTGGCGAATTTCGCGAGTTAGTTGTATCTCCAGAATATGTGTACAAAGGTAGAGAGACTCGTCGATATGAAATTGAATTGCTAGACTTTTATGGTATAATTTGGTTCTTTATCCTAATTGTATCATTCTAGGCAAGGATTTGAGTCCTAATTTGGGCGAGTTTGTGAACCTAGCTTAGCCGTTTTGCATACATAGTGCATATCCCCTCGGACTTGAATCGTTGCGTAATATCCACGCTTCGGGTTATTGCGGTGGGGAGATGATCGACGATCGTGACGTTAGTTTCGTGATTAGCGATTTCGAGACAGTCGATCTTCTTGAAAGCCTCGCCTGTGCTCTGCCCCACATGACTAAAGAAGAAGAGTCTCAAGCTAGGATTTGCAAACCCATGACATTTTCGCCACACGAATCCGTTAAATGAGGTGTACCCAAGGGTTCCACTTTGTAATACTTTGTGAAGCTCATTTAGTATGAAAAGCGGAGGTGCGTTTTTTACTCTCTCTTATTTCCTAGACAACTAGAAGCTCTGAAGTTCTTGGGGCAAAATGTAAACGAGTTCCTTGAGGCTTGCAGTGGTGTTTCTATTAAACCCAAGTCGAAAGCGGGAAACTGTCGAGTAGCAGCTGACATGTATTTGAATCTTCTTAACGACTGCCTCAGAGTCGTAACTAGTAGCTAGGAGCAATATGTTGGTTTAACTAACTTTAAGTGTCCCCATCAGAAGAGAGCGAATGCTTTTCAGTGGTTAAAGTAACCTCAGGGGTGCCTCGAAGCGTGCAAGGAGGCTCTGCAACTTATTCCCTGCAATGAGATGTGTCTTTACAGGAAAGGCGAGACCCATCTGCTTTTGCGTGATCACAAAGAGGCATCATTTAGTTTCCAAGACGCGCTTTCTGTTAATGCCAAACATTTGAAGACATTTCCAAAGTTGAATTTGTGGCAAGATGCGATCCTAGATGCTCTCCTGCGGGAAAGGAAGATGTTCCAGGAAGCACTTAAGCATCTGTAAAACGTGAGCCGATGTCTAAATAATATTTCTTCTTGTAGATGGATGCAACTGATCCTTCCGGTGGAAGTGCTTAGGGGAATGAGGATGAAGTTGCTTTGCCAGCAGCGTAGTCATATCCCCTCACGTGTTGGTTTTTGAGGTGACCACCTCCCACTGATTAACCATTACGTGCCTTCTATGGGGTGGTTCACGCTCGTGTACGGTGACGTGTGCTGATTCAGAATACACATGGGTTATCTAAATTGGTTCTCTTTTTTGTCTCCGTCCGGTTTCTTACTCATTCTGGGTTTCAATATACGATCTGACGGTGGTGTCCTGGTTGCTACAATAGCATGAATACCAAGCACTGTTCAGCTCGGATATTTTTCAAACCAATCGTGTGGAATCCTTCATCAAAAGCAATTGCATGGGGAGAGAGAAGTCACGCGAAGGAGGACTTTAGTGAGCACGGATTTTAGGACCCCTGGGTAAGTAGCCGCAATCAAATTTCCCTACTCAATACTCATTCACTATTCGCAAGATGGTTGGATAGCCTATTTACCGCATATACTCAACTATTCCAACCGCTTGAAGGGGTATATTCACATTCAGAAATAAAAAAGTAGGCATTTTCATCTTCACATCCCTTTGATTCAAATGATTTGCGTCAAAGCATGCAGGTCTACATCTGGAAGGGAATCAGTAAGGTTAATTATCTAGACACACTTGCACAGCTTGCAAATGAAGTCGCAGATGTGTGCCTTTCCGGTCTGCTCGCCGCTCTCATCTACCACAACTTTACCTTGATCACAAGAAATGTCTTCTACGGCTGCGCCTCATGCAACACAATCATCTCCCGCAGCACGATTGAAGCATCTGGCAAAAGCGGCGAATTCACTGCACGCATTTTCACCGCATGGTCGACCACTGGCGGCATTTGACTCCGCGCACAATGTTGAGGGAAAGTAGAAAAGGCCAACCTCTTTTTTTATCCCAAATTTAACTAGGGGAGGCGTTCAAATTCAACCAGGGTCCCTTTTACAGGTACACGTAGTAAAGGTCGAAAGCTTACTGCTCCCACTACCGAGTGATGGGACGATGAGGCTTAAGACCCTAAAGCGGTACAGGCGCCTCAAAGACGGTCGTGCCTCTGCACGTTAGTCACGGGCCTGGCCATGACACTGGCGCGTGATAGGCCTGCTCTCCGACGCATGACCTAACGCGAAATGCAACAAGGGACGGGCACCCCTGCCGAAGTGGACTACACGCCACAATCGGTTGTGAACGTGTGCAGTTTCGAGAAGTTGGAGCAATGAGGTACCCAGACTAACCCGCTGTGCTATATTGGTGCAAACGTACTGACCAGTATTTTCATGCCAAAGACTCCCAGATATTGACCAGTCCCTCTAATGGGTGAATAAATGTAGCACATAACCAAATCATTTCCACCTTGATGATTTGGCGAGGCTTGCCAAAAGACTCGGGTTGCGCATACTGTATCACAATTACTATGGTAGCCCTAGTTAAAAGTTTCAACAACCCACCCAAATGTCTGATTGACCCATCCAAGCCAGCAAGTAATCAGAAATATTGCTGAGACAAGTGATCCTAATGTTCATTGCTTTAGACTCGTGAGAATTACCAATAACCTTGCAAAAGAAACTTACAAAAGGCATGGTGAAGAAGCAGGGAATGGCAACAGACCTCTTCACATACATTTCAGTTGTCCGCCGGAGGCATGTAACTGCGGCCTAGATAGGCAAAATCTTGAAGGTGGGCATCAAAGAAGAGGAACACATTGGTTCTCTCATTCGTGCTGACGAAATCCTCGATTGCACTGAGCAATCTTCAAAGCCAAAAGTACAGGGGAGTTGCTAAAGTTGACAATGCCAATTGACACATCGAGCAAGCCCAAAGTAGTTTCACCGCCCTGTTTTACGGCTAATATGGAATATACCAACCAAGTTGACTGAATAGAGCATATTTACGTTAAAATTTCTTCCATTTCAGTCACTTTGCAGCGTCTTCTCATCACTTAAAATACAACCAGAAGCTGAACTACACCGAGGCAATTCTTCTGACCCTTTCCCATAGCCACAAAGCCTGGTCGAAGAACAAAACCCACGTGTCACCGCCTCCCCTCTATTTAAAACTCAAGCAGACGTCACCTTTATCCAATCTCAACGCTTCACCTACCCCAAAGCATCAAACCTAAAACGGAAAGTACATCGCATCACAAAACAAAGTATTGCACAATTCCAGCATAATCTACAAAAATAGTGTATGCGCCAGAGTGGAGCCAAAATTTGCGTGGCCATAACATTGTTGCGCGGTCCCTTCCGTGGATGCATCAATTCCTCACATAAGGAATGAGCCCTCGAAAATGACTCGCACAGATCCTATGCTGTTCCATAAATTCATAGCCAAACTTCTTGTCTATCGAGGACTTTCATTGCAGATGCGAGGCTAAGATGTTGACACCCACGCTTAAGTTGAAAAAGCGCGACTACGATGCTCCGCAGTGTCCCTGTCGAACCATGGTATTAACACTTCGTGTTCAGTAATCACGGATTTTACACGGGTTCAAGGATCCACTAACTTTGTCCAAAGAAATGCTACAAAGTGCTGCAATGTACCTCTCCCAACAGGAGGGAATATCAAAATCACCCGTCATTTCATGCTGCAAAGTGGCACTCAGCATAGAAGCCCTGCTGGAACACTTGCAAATGAGCATCCCATAACGTTCAGAAAAAAAAAGCTTCGTGTTGAACGAATTATGAACAGTACCAAATCCCAAAAATCCGGCACTCAATGCTTTCTAGATTACATATTTGTTTTATGCTGTGACATTTATGCCCGATTTTTGGCATTCATCTGCCTCCTTATCAAAATCCATGCCACTATAGGCAATTTTTGTATTACGGTAGTGAAGTCTCGAAATAGTGACCTTCGAAATCAAGGATTTTTCGCAATAAAATAACATTTTGAATGACTTGTACTAGTGGTTGATTTAATGGTTTTCAAAACTTACCTATGCAAATTAAACAGCATTTTTCAAATCTTTCTTATGGTAACAACACACCAATTATTGTGTGGCCACTAAGTCTTCTCCTAATTTGGAAGGAGTCATTAGCGTATGGCACTTGACACATTACTGTAGCGGCCTGAGACTCCCTGAAGATGAAAGAAGACAAAATACTCGGGTAGAATATATATTCAGTACGGAGAAGGTGTCTGGGCTATTGGCATGGCCCAAAAGGCCAGCCCACCCAGTGAGGTACAAGGGGGCTAGTTCAAAGTACAAAAGTGGCGCCTTACCAGAGCCGAGGGACAAACCACCATCGTATTACATAGCCTCCCTCCTCTTTTGAGCGTCTTCCCCGGCGCTCCCACAGGTCAACCTCCCGCGTCAGCCATTACAACGTAGTCGGTGCAGTAAAGTAACACCCACGAGCCGACCGTGCCAGTCACCAAATTAGCGTGCAACTGAGGGGATACTTAACCTCAACCTCACTGATCCCTCTTGGCGGCTTGACTGCATCTGGGGTTTCGTCCAGTTTAGGGATTTGATTCAGGACGGGGAACTGCGTCGGCTATCACGCGTGTCCATAGATAGATGCAGGAGCACTGGCCTAAAAGCAGATTTGAGTAAGGAAGTACAAGATTTAAAACAGGTCCATGGGGGACGGTAGGGAGAATCCGTAACTAAACTTCCAGATGGTTCACGGCTAGTGTCGCTTCAGTTGTTAATGGCTTTTCTGCAGAACACGGGACTCGGAGCGATGCCGAAGGTGGACGTCAACATCACCCCTTCTAGTAGGGATCATCACCATTCTCCCATCCTCAGCATATGTACTTCTTCCACTCCACTAAAGTTTATCATGCAGAAGTGGAGAATCAGTATACATGGCCTTTAAGATGGGGTTCGCTTTCTGCTGCCACCAATGTAGCGTCCCGAGATTCCCTGAAGACAAAGGAAGACACCATACTCGGGCAGAATATATGTATTCAGCTCAGAGAAGGTGTCTGGCTACCGGCATGGCCTGAAAGGCCAGCCCACCCAGCGAGGTACAAGGGGGCTAATTCAAAGTCCCAAAAGTGGCGCCTCACCGGTACCGAGGGATAAACTACTATCGTATTACATTACAGATGTACAGACAAGGCGAGGCTATGTACACATTGGGGCGATTGAATGCATGGTGTCGAAGTCTTACGTACCCGCGTAACCAAACCGCATAGTTAAGCAAACAATCAACCTATCACAAAGACACTTTAGTCTACTGTAGTTTTTTGCATCTTTTTGGTAGTTACTTTGCATTTGTATTATTCGCAGCTTTCCACCTAGCGCTCAATCCATTTTATGTGAGCTACTCTTTAAAGTCCAAACCTAATTCATCGCAACTTTTCAATACGCACATTTGACACCTGTGCACATCAATTATTCAAATTATTTGGTTGCATTCCTAACACTGCCACTCTTTCCTGAGGTGTTATGCATATAATAATGGAAGAACCCTTTTACTGCAGAAGAAAAGAGCTGGAAGACTACTGACAGGTCTCGAAGGCATTGCTACAGGGTGGAAGCACAAACTGCGCAAAATGATAGGACCGTGTATTCAAATACGCACCCACGCTGCTCCCTTTGGCCATCACAACGTTGTTGGTGCCACATAGACCACCTGCAAACCAGCAGCCACGGTCACACTACCTTGACCTTATAGAGACAACTAACGGGTGTTTGAGCTTATCATCAAGCAGTTCTTCTGAATTGGAATTCTGAACTCACCAACACATTTATAATGTGAACTATCATTTAGATGTAGCATTTTCTCCCACCTTTTCGTACACACACGCACACACCCAGGGAAACTCCTTTAACATTAGAAACCTTGAGGATGAGCCACACATTGCTAAAAAACTGCATAGCCTAAAGGGAACAACAGGAGTGGTGAATGCCTCCCTTGTGCATCCGTCTACCATTTCACAGTGGAAGAGCCACACGCTTTCGTGTAGTCAAGTCGCAGAGATAACTACTTGCAATTATCTTTGCCTCACGAGTAATTACGATATCAAGTAGAAATGGGATTTGGAGTTTCCACTTGGCAAATCTCTACAACATTTTTACTTAAAGGGAGTGAGGTTCCCAAGCTAATGTTCTCGTTGTGAATACATCTTGGTTGTGAATGTTCTCAGCACTAGCAGTTTCATAATTGTTAATTTGAATTATTAGAAGTACTCAGGACATTCGAAAAGGGCATAATTATCAGCGTCCATGTCAGTACAGTAGACCTGATTGTTCTGCTCGTATGCGTATGCATAGTCGTACTGCTCGCTTGTGGTGGTAGTGGCGGTGGTGGGATAACTCGACGAAACAGTTGCAACGTAGTCACCACTCCACTCATAGTCGCAGTTGTTGCAATAGACAACCTGCTCCTCCCACTGGGTTTGATAGATCATCTCCTGCACTGGAATTTGAAGGTGTGGCGGCGGCTGTGTCTGTGACTGTATCTGCGACGGTGGCGGCGGGACAGATTGGCAGGTTGAGGATGAAAGTTGATGAGGGTGGTGATGAGGCGAAGGTGGAGGAGGCGGAAAAACTACATTCTGAAAAGAAGGTGAAGGGCACTGTCCATTCTCACCACGTTTGGTTGGAAGGACAGATGATAGGGTCTCGTCCAACGTAAGTTTAGCTAGCACTTCGGGCTCGTAGGCGAAACGGTAGACATAGCGCTCACCCGACACCTTGCTGATTATGCCCTTCTCGTAGTAGTAGCGCAGCGATCGACTCAACTTGTCGTAATTCATTGTGGGTCGATTCTTCTGAATACCCCACAACCTCGCAACCTCCTCAGGCTCATTCAGCTTGAACTCGAGTTTGCGTCCAGCCCAACAGATGAGGTGTTGACTACCTGGATCATCCAACATTGTCACCAGGAATCGCCACAACTGGAGCGAGCCTTTCTGGTGCGACTGTTGCTGATGGCTGTGCTGATAGTGTTGATGCTGTCGCGGTTGACAAGGTTGAGACATTGAAAGATTGTTGAATGCGGAGGATGTGGTAGTGCTGTCGCTGTTGCTACCACTGCAAGTTGGCTTCTTCCTATTTTTCCAGTCGCAACTTCTCTCCCCTTGCAGTCCCAGCATTTAGGGTGCTACTTTTGACCAAGAAAGAATACCATCATTTTCATAGTATAAAAGAGGCCGCACGTTGGTAGTAGTGACTCAGTTACTGACAACGCATAATTAGATGGGAAGGTCAAGTACTGTTAAGTAATTGCAGGAGGGCAGACGTGATATTAACTACTCGCTTTGTAAATTATTTTACTATGCAATCAAACCCAAACCACCCTTTATGCAGCATCATTTTTAATATTAGAAAACACTTACGAAGATCGGTTGATTTAATGTTCATCGTGTCTTCTCCTAGTAAATATTTAGTACGTCTTTCAAGTTGAATTTAGTCTTCATATTTTCTGCTTCAGCGAAAGAGCCAGCTTGAGATATAAACACTACCTGATGTGTGATATTTTTAAGTTAAAGTTTATTCATGTCCACAACTGAGCTATCGCGTGATGCATCCCGAGCTTTCAATTGTCATGCCCCTTCGCCAGGTCATGTGATTGACACGGACCAATCAATGAGCACCATTGGGTCAGGGGGATGTACTGCTAACGCAAGACCCTCGCAACACGGTATTTTGTAGGCTTTGTATTTCATCCCACCTTTTTGCCTCATCGCCTTCGCTCCACTCGATCACCTCAATGGGAAGCAAAGAGAGTCATCTGCAGACCAGTGTGTCTAAACGCTGTGGTAGCGTCTATGGCCAAATTAGCGCAAACTCGTATCGCCAATTCGCCAACAGCACATGTCAAACTATTCCCTCCACTCTTAATAACCACGACACATTCAAATATCCTAAGACAAACTCTTCTGATGGTCGAACCAAATTAGAATTGAGCAATCGAAATTTTGGTGGTGATGTGTGCAGTCGCGAGCCCAGCCTTTGTACTACCAAGTTGGACTACAAAAGTTGTGGCGATGAAACTGGCGCCAAAGAATCCCACGATCGTAAAACCTTAAATCACTGCTCTCGAGGAGAAATATCTGGGCATCTTTCCAATGAAAAAGTTGAAGACATTTTATCTATCATTAGTAATGAATCAGACACCTCTTCATCAATCTCTGTAGGGGATGGAAGCGCAGAGGCGATTTTGAATAAGCTCAAAAATAGACATAAAACTTCGAAAACGGTTTTTAAAAAGAAAAATCAAGAAGTTGGCTCCCACTCCTCTGGTGGTCATTCTTGCATTTCACAGATATCCTCATCGTCAAGTCCACCATCGTGTTGCACGCCCGTTCCTTTTGTAAACTTGGTAAAGTTTAAGAAAACAGGTACAGAGAACAAGGTTACACAGCAGGAGCAGACACATAACCCGGGCGATCCAGTAGCCCTAACCTGTGAGTTAAGTGGATCCTTCAATGCCAACATATCCAACAAGCAGTCTTCTGGTGACCTGCCAGATCATATACCCGGGACACATGGAGATGAGATGGAAACAAGGAATGGGACTTCATCTTCACAGCGATTCAACACATCTCCTCTTGACTCAGAAGAATTTGCCAATAGATGGGTAACACCAAAACCAAGTCCAAAATTGGGTTTCACTGAGACAGATGCTGGTGATATAATATTAACTGCCTACTTAAGAATGAAGGGAACTGGACCGGATGAATACGCCTATGTGAAAAAGACAAGTGAGCGTCGATTAAGGGGTCTACAGACTCAACAAAACTGTAAAATAAAGCTCTACGATGAACCAACAGAACAGCGAACTTTGATGGTTCATAAGTTGAGAATTTTTGGATCGAGTTATCGAGAGGTAGTCCGATGCAAAAACTCCCTACCTCGTTGCATCACAGATCGTCTAATCACAGCTCATGCAACTCTGGACGAGATTCTTATCAAACCACAGCGGCGAAAGTGAAGGATGGAAAGAAGAAAGGAAGGGAGAAGGGTGTCTCCACGCGAAGGAGACTTGAATGTTTCTTTATCGTTTGTGTACACGTGAGATTGCACGTGTGTTGCTTTCCAAAAAAAATTTACTTTTCTTGTCTCCATGGTAGTAGGGAGAGAGTTAGAAAGATTGTTTCAATTAAAAGTTAAGTTAAATGACAGCTGAAAAATTTGTTTCCTTCCTTCACGCATAGCAGATACACATATCCCTTTAGATGTCATGTGAGCACGATGCTCTTGGGAACAAAATATCCTCATATCGTTTACGGCTAAGGATAAATTGCCACGGGGGGTCAAATGGCACATTCTGCTTTCAAAAGGGATGGAAAAGTGATAACCAGGGGCTCAGAGAGCCAAGTCAACTATTATGTCTGATAGTGATGTAGGGAAGGAATATGTCCATTTAGCCATTCGGATTTAATTAACAAGGCGCTACACTCAACTGAGGTATATGCATTCACATCCGGTTTGAAGGCACCCAGCATGATTTCACATTTCCGGCGTATCTAATGACTGGATGATGCTGGCTGGTGAATAGCTCTCTCTCTATCCCTCTCTCCTCATGACCTAGTCCAATGCACCTTACAATACAGTCCGAAAGGCGAGTTTGTAAGACACAGGAAAACGAGTAAATAAGGTGACAAGTAGCAGAAGAAAGACAACGTACCTGTGATCAGAAAGAAGATAATGGTCTTACACGTCTTTTGGTACCGGAAATTGTGATTTTACCGACCAATACAATCGCCCAATTATGTCAGTAATTATCTTCGAAGCATCGATTTGAACAAAGAAGGGAAACGGGTAAGAAGTGGAAGGGGATTGGGGGGGGGGGGGGAAGGGGCTACCATAATTGTCGTCAGCGTGCAGCAATTAACGCATCCATCCGAGCTTGCATCCTTATGCACAAGTCAATTCGCCATTTAATGGGTTCGGCTATAATAAAGGGGTCCACTGTCGACTGATTTCCCATTTAAACAAAAGCCATCTTTTAGTAACAAAGTGTAGATTTTGAAAGAAGCAGCGTATGAGTTAACTGTCTCCCAAGTGCTAAAATTTTGTTGGACTGTTTAATCTCTACCTGCCTCAACTGCTGTGTCAGGAGTCCTAGACCATACCCAGGTACGTTGACACAGCAAGCCAATGTGATAAAATGGTTGTAACTACCTCAAAGGTAATAATTGTAAATCCTCACACGGAGCAAAGGCTGTTCAAAGCAAAGCGGGACTCTGGGTTTCCCCAAGAAAGAAAGGTATTTTCACCTGTCACATTAATCGTAATTTACTAACATAGCTAAATCAGCCTTAAATACAAATTTCTGTGATTGCGTTTTGTCCTCTTCCCTCATAAAATATCCGTCTCTCGTGCCTTTAATCAAGGATTAGGCCATCTATGTCCTGGATCTTCAAGGGAAGGGCAATCGAGGCTCGGCTGACACACATACGACCATCTCTGAGACCCTGACACTACTCACCTAGCCTAATGACACGTGGCTAAACGTGATGGAGGTCCTATTCAGATCTGCCTCCAAGCTTCCCTACCTCAGTGCCGGTTAAAGACTAGGAAAGAATCTATCATTGGTCTTGGATTTACCGAACCACTGAAAAAGGAGAGTTTGCTAAGATGTCTTAAATGTTGAGGTGACATGCTGTGACATGTAAAATGCGGTTGGATGGTCATTGAGGCAGACGTCCGACTATCTGCGTGTTGGCTCAACGTGTCGGATGAGATTTGACCTCAACGGCATTGCGATTTGATGCAGTTTAAGTTGGTTCCAAAAGTAAAATAGAAGCTAGCCAGCCTCATGCCAACTTAATTGCTGTGTGGCATATGGAGAAGGTGCAGGACGCGGTAGTCGAATAGGTTACCAATCACAGCCACAAATGATGTGACGCTAGTGATGAACACGGAGACGTAGATGCATCAGATTGAGGATGACCGTCCAGTTCTGATCGACTTGGTGAATTACGTATCAGTATTTCCACTTTAGTGATCGGGGATGAGTGTGTGAGGCCTACGATTCTCAGCCCACTTTAACTTGAGGGACGAACAAAGAGGCGGTTGTCAAGGTCAACGGGTAGTGCATCCCATACCCTAACAAATGCGCTAAAAACTTCTGTATTCCTCCCTCCCCCCAAAAATTGTCCCCTTTAGACTTTCTAGAAGTTCCAGTTATTTCCTGCTCTCCGAATATTCGAGGATCTCACTCACCCACCCACTTTCTCCTGACTGGTTCTTACTAAGTGGAGATTGACTCCAGGTGTACTGACAACCACTCAAAGGTCAAGGTCAGACGGTTGCCATAATTACCCAAAATAGGGTTCACCAACATGCAGACTCAAGCGGTTAGCCCCTACTTTCTGCTTGTCAGTTCCGTACGTACTGACTAAAGCTCCCTGGCTTACTCACTACGGCAGCCTTCGCTGAAATCCTTACCCACTGACTATCCGGTTTGGTGGCGTCAAGAGGATCTGGGCGTCTCACCTCAGAGGTATTGGCGACTCAGTTCAAAACAAAAGCCCAGATACTGTACTTGGAAGACAAAATAACCTGTCTTCACTTTATCTCCGTTTTGTGTGGAAACACAGCAATAAGAGGTTGTCCGCTGACTGACTCGTGACAGGAATTGGTTTGTGCACTGCAATGTTCCCTCCAACGCATCCATACGCCCACGCACTACACAGCTCCTTCTCCTGAAACCTCTTCTAGCCTGGTGTGCATGAGTGTGGTTAGATTGGAGGCAAAGTTGTTTACTTGCCGAAGGTTAAACGACAATCATGGCTGACTGAGACATAAACCGAGGCAGCTACTCCCATGGAATTCAGAATTAGCATGCAATGGACAAAGGAACTGGACAACTGCTTCACCACTCGTTTATAACCAGAAATACAAAACTCAATCAATCAGATGTGAAGTGTTAAACAGAAATGAGAGGTAGGAAGGGTTAAATCAAAAAGTTCTCTACAAGGCAAAACCAAACTGGAAAGACGGCTAGAAAGACGGAGGGATAAGGCGCTAGACATTCCCTTTGGTGAGTAGTTGACGACGCAATCCAATCACAGCGGCATGAAGACGATACACAACGAGGCAACGCACCACAAGAGTTGTGAGGAGGACAACAGCAAGGCCGCAGAAGGAGAAAACAAGACGTGGCGCGAAGATCTTCCACACCATCAGATGGCGACGCAGAAGGAAGGCGCACAGCAGATGACCCGTGAACTGTGTATGTGGAGAGGGGAAGTGATAACCAAATACAATCATGGAGGGCACCTTGAAATAATCCCCTCGCTATAATATATCGTCCGTCACTAAACCATTTTCCATCGCAAGTCAGTCAGCAAGCAATCCCTTCCTGATGGTGCGTTTCTACAAAGAGTGTGAAGGAGGTGAAGAACAGATTGGCTGTCTTTCAAGCCTACTGCTAACGCACAACATCTTCCACCCATTTGCTTTGTGGCTTCTCACGTGATGTAGTGTCAATCATCAGTTTCTTCATCACTCAACCTAGACACGATTAAAAGGCTTGGACTTCATACATCCATCTCCGATTATTGGCATGTCAATGTCATCAGTATGTCCGGAAGGTCTAGCTCAACCTGATGCATCTGCGTCTCCGTGATGCATTACCGGATTCACATTAAACGTTGTGACTTTTTGGTTGTAGTCGGTACCATGCTCGACTAACCCATCCTGCATCTTCTCTACATGCTGTACAGCAACCAAGTTGCCATGATACTGGCTGGCTTCTGTTTCAAATTTGGGACCGAGGCGTATGGTAAACGAGGTGACCTCGGATTTCATCCGTCAGGTCCAATCCACATTTTACCGTATGGGTCTTCAAAGTCAGCAGAACACAGCAGAAAGCATAAGTGTTGGAAACAGTCACTACGATTATACGTGACTAGGATGAATGAATGACTCATAAACAGTTTCCACCATTCTTTCTTCACCGATCGGCCATCTGACTCGTCATGTCTCCTTACTCAAATACATAATTCAAATAACGGCATCAGTAAAGTCTAAATCATCAATCTGAAGACTTGAAATGAGCAGCGAAATAGATGTAACATTCACAAAGTGCGATGACTGCAAAAGTCGTACCAAACTGAAGTGAGCAATGAGGTATCGTCGAAACAGTCGATCAAAAGCCATCCGCAGAGCTTGGGAGCACCTCTCAGAGTGAATGGGCAGTAGTAGGAGTTTAGATTGTCCGACAGGACCCTTCGACAAACGATGGAGAGAAACAAGAAGGAGGAGAGGCAGCGCTGCAGTGACAAGGATCTGGGCAGCAAAGGTGTGAGCCAGCACGAGAGCAGCGGACAGGAAGGTAGAGGCAGCAGAGGCTACACGATCCCCCTCCAGCACCGCAAATGCCGCCTCCCAGGCAATCGATGGAAAGATGGGCTGATGGCCCAGGCAGTAGAAGCCGAATTCGCCCAGTAGGCAGGCGTAGATAGCTGCGGTCCAACCTGACGCTGCGTGCAGCTGTGATAGCACTTGGGCTAGAGTTGATAAGACTACTTTAGGAACAACAGTAGAGGTTAAGGTTCCCTTTCCCCTCTCATAAGTAAAGCAGGGAAAGAAGTGCCTACTGATGACGGATGGGTGCATGTACAGGCCTTCATGTCATTGGTGTTAAGATCCAAGAACAAATCATATAAGTGTCCAGAGAGGTCAAATGGATTTTAACTTACTCTGGGGATCGCGACTTGAAAGAACCATGACGGTTGCTGCCGTCTTCTGGGAAGATGGAAGGATGCGGGGACAGTGTAAAAGATAGAAGGGAGGAAAAAGAAGACAGATAAGGATGCCCAGACATGGCCACACGTAAGTGTCCCCGAGGAGAACGAGCAAGATGAGAAACGGTGTCATCACCAGTGCAGTGAAAAGCCACGCAGTATAGACGGTAGTCAGACCGGAGAGATAGACCTCGCCTCCTCCCCCTCGTCTACGTGTCTTAGACGGCTCCGCTGTCGACACCGTCGCCGTAACGAGAAGCGGACGATGGATGAGAGCAAGGAAAAGGGCTCCACCGAGCAAAAACAGCACGCGAGCGACGTTGATCCTCAAGGTGGCGCTAATGGTGGCATAATTTGATACTTTCACCCTTCTCTCGTGATATTAAAGGGGAACAGTTCCCAAGATTCATGAAAGAGCAATGTGCTAAACACACCACAACCCATTCAAGCAGGCATTCTTACTCCTTAACTCTAAAGTAGCATTGTTTCATGATCTGCTAAAGATATATACTAGAACTTCAGACCTGAAGAATTTACCATTACGAGTGGTGTCAGCATCACATATGTGTGACGTCCCGCTTGCAAGTAATGTTACATGGTTCTTATCAATTTACGGTAATTGCTTGTACAAAGTCGTGTCTTAAAAGGACTAGTCGAGTTTAAAATAAGCAGAACAGAGGCGAAACATTCTTGGCCTGAGGATCTGATATTAAGTAGTGCCCGAATTATTTGCTTCAATAAAACGTACAGAAACGTAGTTTCTAAGGCGACGAAGTGTGAAGAAGCGCAGTTGCCGCTATGCACCGAGGCAATGAGAACATCGAGGAGCCAGAGGAAGGAGAGTCCAAGAGTAGCGAAGGGCACAGCAGTAGAGAGAAGAAAACCAACCAGTCCGCCAACATGGAGATTGCCCCACGCGTTCAGACAGCGGCGGTGAACGACGAAAGCGATACCGAGGCCAGCGCTAGCCAAGAGAAGGCGAGGACCCGCAAGGCGTCGCAGTCGTTCACCTGACAGTGCCGAGAGGCGAGTAAGTAGCCACGCAAAGGTGAAAGTGACACTACCGTCACCATCGCTGGTGCCCAGAGTTACACACACAGAAGTGGCTGGGGACTCTTCCCGACACACCTCCAGGTATCGACCCGCCCAGAGAAGACCAATGCAAAGGAGCATGCTTGAACCGATCTCTGACCAGTGCCTAGTAGAACCCACCTAAAGGCAAGTAAGCAAGAGAGAAAGGGAGTCTTCAATGCAGCGTTCATCCTTAAAATGGCTTTACTGAATGAAACAAAACTACACCTATGACGTGGGTCATTTACGGGCTCGAACTCGTAAAAAATCTTGGAAAGTATCCACCTCCCATTTTGGAGGAGATTTTTAGTCACTTTAGTTGCTCGAATCAAAAAAAAAGATTCTACTCCACTTACAGCGAAAATACAGTTGATCGTAAGCACTGACTGCAGAAAATAGCCCAACACCCTGGCCTCTTGAATAACAAAACTGTTCGAACAGGAAGAGAGGACAACGAACACGATCATCACGCCAGAGACCAGAGTTCCAAAACTAATCGAGTGACTGTGCCGTCTAAGCCACAAAACGCCCAGCCAATAAGAAGCCAGTGCCAGTGGTAGAAGAGCGACCAGAGTTAGTTTTAAGAGGCCAAGGGCGGCGGCGCCCAGTGTGGTAAGGACGCAGAGAAATCCAGGATCACCGAGGTCATTATCGAAGGCCAGAAAAGCCAAGAGAGCATTAAGAGTGAGGAGGAAGCCGAGGGCGATGCGCCATACGTCCATGCGGGTCCAGTGGACGAGAAAGGTGGCCCGCAAAGCGCGCATCACTGCCAGGCACTCCTCAAGGGAGGAGGAAGAACAAGGCTGCGTAGAGTTTTGGGTGATTAGTCGGCTCATCTCCGTAGGGACAGTTACAAGACCAAATTGTTTGTGATACTCCTTTGCGTATGTGAATATCTACAAGGAGCATAGATAAAAGTAGGATGCGTTTGTGGAAAATTACAGGAGCACAAATTCTTTACTAAAACAAACAGCATAGCGATCCGCCTATTTGCTTTGTGGTTTCCATTACTTCCCTTCTCAAATATTGTGGATGTCAACTACAATAATTCACTGCTCAACACCCTAACAACCTTCATTTCAGGTGCCTTGAAGTAGCTTAATGGGGTTAGCTTCAGGAGTTCGTTTATAAGAGAGTGAACAGTGATACCACAGCCACTTATAATACATCGTTGTTCCACACAATTGTGCCCTATATTGCCATGGTAATGAAGTATTCTACCGACCTGCTTAAAGTTCTCATTCACTGGTCCGACGAGGTCGAAGTTAAACAGCTGTGTGACAACAATGCCCAGATTTGAGAAGGGAATCGGGGTGCCTGTGAGCGCTGCCAGAGTGGGCACGAGATTAACCTGCTCCACAGTGAGGAGAGGAACAACTTCACCTGAGGTGGCAGCGCTGGGGGCAGGAGCACGCAGGAAACCCCGCGGGGTGTAGGCAAAGAGAGCTGCATCGACCTCGGCATCGCTGTTGCCGCCATGATCACCTGTAGCGGTCATGCCGTGGTCACCAAAAGCGATGAGCAGGTCTGATTTTCGCAATTGGGGTAGCAGATGGCTGGAAGAACGATTGATCACACCACTAATGCAGCTAGCGCATTCACTACAAGCGTCATACATAGGCGATGCCTCATATCTTGCTTAAGCCTGCACATTACATACATATGGCGATGTTTGATTGAAGGAGAGTGAATTGGATTAGGACAAAAAGAGAAGGACGAAAACCAGTGCTTTTATAGCAGGGAACAAAACTAGGCAATTCAGAATTGTGTAGCTACGCGAGTTTATTAATCACTTGTACACGCCAGTACTCCAATATAGCGGAGTCGCATACAAACTTTGTGCTTCGGGTGTGCTAAGCTGATTTTCACCAGAGACCTCTGTTCTGAAGTCTTTATTTCTTTGATTTCCTTGTTTGGGATGGTTGCTGGTTCATGTTCACATACGGAGAAAAAACACAACAATGCAAGTTAACAGTATATGACCTCAAGATAAGGCCAGATCATCTACTGAGCAGTACCCAATAAAACCTAATCCAACCGCCAGCCAAGGGCCAATAGGTTATGGTCATCTTAGGACAGTTCCTCCATATACGCACACAGGAGATATCAAGGCAGAAATATCCAACCAGTTTAAATCAAACTCCCAAATAATGGAATTTCGCTTTACGACAATAGTAGCAAGCTGCCTTAACCACAAAATTGGGCAAGATCATTTTTAGCATGAATTTGAGGTCCGGTAATAGAACGCTGCACTAAAAGATACACATATACCTCAAAAATTTATCCAATTCAGCAAGCTTGCGATCCATCTCCGGATGTGAGCGGCCGAAGGTGTGTCCGCAGTGGTCAATGCCAAGCATGTGGCCGATTAACACATCACATTTGTCACGACTAATCTCTCGGAGAACGTACTCTTTAACAGCCGTATCCACTGTGTCCAAGTCCTTTATGTTGAAGGAAGGAAAGGGATAGCTTTCCAAAAACCTACGAAACATTGACAGTAAATGAAACAAGCACGTTGACATTCAGCTTACATAGGATACAAGGAAGGAAGTTAGAGCAAAATTGGTTAATAGTTGATTCAGTAACGACTGCTGTACCTAGAAATGTAACCTTTAATTTCATTATGGCTAGGGTCAGTTTTCGAAAAGGAGTACGTTTACATCACGAAGTTATGGAAACGATTTCATGAGGAAGTCATGGGCCCATCTAACTAGGTCACACCCACATATATGGCAATAACGGATAATTCCCGTTACATCTAAAAGATCTAATGTTAAAAACCAAAGCTGCGTTTTTCGGAGCAACAACAATTATGAGAAGGAAATAAACAGTTTACCTAGTCGTAACAACAATCATCAGGATCTGAGGTTTTAATCTGCCCAAGGACACCTTAATACTAGGATCCAATAAATGTGTGAAATCAGAAAACCGCGATACTTACCAATTCGGTACTAATTCCACCCAAACTTGGTCACCGGCAAAACATATCTTCTTACCGGTTAGTGCCCACTGTTTGAGTATGTTGTCTTCTTGGAGTTCGCTACCACCGAAATTACTTCCTGCATCGATAAACGTAGGCATACTGCCTGTGAGAAGAGCTTTAAGCCGTTGCATGGTGGTAGTTGGAGGATCGGCTATGAAGTGGGCGAGAAAGTGGTTTTTAGAATGGTTCTGTTGGTAAATGAGACTCCTTAAATAGGGCATTCGTGTTGTGCTGTCGACAGGAGGAAGTAGACCAGTGTAAAGGCCATCCACGAGAAGTAGAATTACTCGTTTAAACTCAGGTTGGGAGTGGTGGGATACGTCAGTGGTGTTGGTTAATTCAGAGCGAGTAAGGAGAAACCCACAGGAAAATATAAAGACGCCAAACACGGCTGAGAAGAAGCCCGAAATTACAAGATTGTTAATGCCTAGGCGGTGTTGCTTTCCCCTTTCGGAAGCCATCCTGCAAAGCATAATTTTCGGTTATGAGCCAAAGTGAGGAAATCCATACACTTTAACAGTAAACGACAAAACGAACAAAGAAGGCCAACTTGTACTCCGGATATGCACGTACCTAACAATTCAGTGAAGAAATCATCAAACAAATCTGGTGATAGGAAAGCAGAACAAGCAGCTTCAAGTAAATAACGCTAGATAGTAGATGCTCCTTTAGTACTATTACATATGTGAGATAGCTCATTAAGTCCCCCTCAGGGTTCAATTGTTAATATGCCGTTTCAAAGTCAGCAAACTAACTAACGAAAGTAACGTTGGAAAAACTGAAATTAATAATTGAGAGACCAAAAATACAGTTCACATATACAATCATATCAAAATTGTTACTATGTCTAACAAAACTCGACTTCATATACTGTTAAATAACTGAATGATTAAGACTGTGAGAAACAACATGACTCAAGGAAATAATAAATGCTACCGGTGAGCATGCCCTGAATAAAAAACCAGAGAATAAAAAAAGAAAAATAAGGTTTTCACGAGCATTCTGGATAACTTAAGACGTGACCTTACAAACTGAAGTTCATGTGAACGTCAAAGTAGAAATAGAACCAGACACTTACAAAATAATTACAGTTCACTAAACTATCCTATCAAAAACAGTTGCATTATTGCCAAACAGCAGTTGCAAATATTCGGTACTTCCGTGCAGTGCGGAAAATTTTGCAAGGTAGTAGCACGACGCAATCAAAGATTTCTCTGACAACATTGTTGATATCATACTACAAAAATTTAAGGGACGGACTATCCCGAATACTTGGTCACCTTTTCGTGCAGAAGACGGAGAATTCGTGGAAACGCATAAACTCAATTTATATGTTCAGTTCACTTACGTACCAAAAACTCTTTTTGTGCGAACGTTATTCTTCGTTTTAGGCTATTCGATTTCGGCGGTTCCCAGTCTTTATAAAACCTTTACGTGTTCATGCTTTGTTTTACAATATTTTACAAGCATTGCCTTTACAATGAATTTTCTGCTTTTTTAACAGATATTATGTATAGGGGGTGCATCTTGGGCACCTGTGGGCAGCTTGTTTAAATTACTGTTTGCGATTCCCACTCGTATGCGAGCGCTAGACCGTCAGTTTACGTACTTATCTCCCGTGGTATGCTGTCGATAGAAATCATTCAAGTTCCTAGTGGGATTTACTGCCAATGCAGTAAATGCCAATGTTTCTTCTACAATTTTTGCACTCTGTATTGCCGCTATGCGCTTCAATATAGCGCCACTTTGATTCCCCTTAGATAACAAATTAGTTCGTCATAGTTACTGATTGTTAGCATGCATTTTAAGTTAATTTGGAGCTCTCGCAGACCGGATGACTTGTATTGCCCTGTCACTTCCACAATGCATTCAATGCAGCTTTGAAGACTTTAAGTTTCTCTAAGCCGATAGTTGCATGCGTTTCATATATCTTGCTTTATGCATTTCAGTGATTCTTGTGCAGGGGTCTGACCCTTCTTTATTTGTTTTCTCAATTACTTTTTTACACACAGTTGTTTTGGACTAGACTTTGGTTTTTACTATTATCCCATTTGATTCTTCCGGTACTTATGATTTCGTCTTTCTAGATTCTAGTATGGCCATGGAAAACGCACCCATGAAAAATTGGGAACTCACTTTGTATGAAATGCAACGCAAGCCGCAGGAACCAGTCACTGATGGTACTAAAATAGCCGTTAGTCCTCGTAGTCTTCAGTCGGAGCTGATGTGTCCCATTTGCCTCGATATCCTCAAAGTCACCATGACTACCAAAGAATGCCTCCACCGATTTTGCTCGGACTGCATTGTCACTGCTTTAAGAAACGGCAATAAGGAGTGTCCAACGTGCCGAAAAAAACTGGTGTCAAAACGCTCTCTTCGACGTGATCCCAATTTTGATGCACTCATTGCAAAAATCTATCCTGATCGAGAGGTGAGATTTCTTCCACTCCCAAACCTACATACGGTTACTAGGAGTACGAAGCGCATCAGAATAGAGTTCTGGCCAAGTTGAATAAACAACAGTTTAACGGGAGAGCATCCTTGCACGAAAGTGGTCAATCACTTCACAGCTCCAATGATATCGATTCTGCACGGTATCGAAATCGACGATCCACTGGAAATAATGGATTCGCAACGGCCGACTCCGTTATTAGTGAAGATGATGCCGCTTCAATAGTGAGTTCTGGGGATCCTTGAGTTTGTTCAAACATTTATATTTCTTTTTTTGGAGGGGAGAATGGTTGAATGTTCCTGCTCCCATATTTTTTGTACATTCCGGTTAGACAATTTCGAACAGGTTCTGATAAACCTGTTCAAAAATTTGAGTGAATTAGGCTCACTAGAACTTTAATGTTTAGGCCTTATGATCTCACTTTCCGTGTCTGTAGACGGGCAGCCTGAATCAACGAGCGTCGCGAGTCAATTCAGACGCAGAAAGCGGAACAATTGAGACCACATCAGTGGGTGGAGCAAGTTCTGTCGACTTTGGGCACCCACACCAACAGTCCCATAACCAGCGGACGCGTACTTCCAGTAACAACGCCACTCCCACCTCAACCACCACCGTGATCCCCGAGGTCGAGTTGATGCTCCGTCCCTTGCCACCGCAGCATCGGAGAGGCATCATCCCTACCTCCTTCGCTGTCTCCCTTGACGGCACCGGGGTGGAGTGTCATGGCAACCAGACTAAATCAGAAGATGGGGGACACGGCACCGCTGCCTCCAGTCCCCATGGAACCACCTCCGAAATGGGCTCGGAGGAATCACTGTTGGCTCCCGCAGTCAAGTACATAAAGGTGCCATCGAACGCCACAGGTAGACCGCACCAGCCATCTTTTTTATGAACCTAAACTAACGTTGAGTTTTAATTTATACGTTATTTTAGTTGACCACTTGGGAAGGTTCTTGTCGATTCGTTTTAATCTGCAACGAGTGCACAAAGATGTTATGGGTGAGTACACCCCATTATATTACCTAATGTCGCTTGTCTCTGTTCTCTTCCTTCCTCTCACGTTTGATCATAACGATGGTTCCCATTGTTGTTCTGTTATCCAGATAGAAAGACAACAAGTTATTTGACCTATGGCCTCTATTTAGAGGCAATTTAAGCTGACATCTCATGTAAATGCTCTCGAAACCCCTTACCACCATGTCGATTAGCAGCCTGGATGCCTTTTCTCTTGCAGAAAATGACCCGTATTTCACCCTCTTTTACTATAATGAGGCCTCGGGCGAGTATGTTCACCTACAGCCAAGTATGACAATAGATGAAATCAGTCGAAATTACTGGAGTGGACTGAATAGTCTGAGCCTCTACTACGTCCGAGAACAATCCCAACACCACCCGTAATGGCACTGCTACTGCTGCCAATGATGATGGTGATGATGCACGCGAAATTGCCTTCGCAGTCGCGCACAAACCCATCTCGTTCCCGACTGGTCTAATCCCAACGGTTCTCTTGTCCCTGTACATACATGCAAACTTTGTTCTTCCTTGTTTGTCACATTGGAACCGCCAGGTTTTTGGTCTTACACTTGTGTGTTAGATTTCTCTCCTCTCTAATGCCGATTTATCAAATCCAGTGACCAATTTCTATTCATGGTAACGACTGCTGCGATCCCTCCACGCAAGTGGTATTTGAGAATCGCAAATAGTACTAAACACTGTGATTAGTAAAAATACCGCGCATTTACGATGCCACTCTCAAAAATTAGGTTGTGTATCATGATATACGGAGTTTGCGGCAGTGCGGTCAGTTCATTGAACGCCTGCTCCAATTTTATCCGCAAGGTGGTCGTCTCGGTGTCTTCGCGTGGCGCTAAGCAGAGGTGCCACCCTAAGTCGGAATTTAACTAACCAAGTTGGGGCATTGGGCTTCAATGGGGTCTAGTTCCACGCCTCTGAGGCAAATCCTCTTCATAGGTTTACGATATGCAGTTGCCAATCCAAAGTTGGCTCGGCTGAAGCATTTGTAAGTGGTGCGCAATGCGACTGGAAGAGGGAATTCAAGCAGTTCAAGAACTTCGGACGGTTAAATACTCACGATCAAGGTGGTGACTTGCCCCCAACTTCGTGGTTCCCGCAGGTGGTGGCTGTCTAGGGGACGCGAGGTACGGGAGGCGCCCAGCTTAAAACGGGGGGTGGATGGAGCTTACCACCCATCATGTTTCCCACGCACACAAAACGGCGCTGTCAGGCTGTCCACACACCAAGTGTGTATGTGTATATATCACACAGAGAAAAAGGCATACAAAACTAGGGGAAAAAAGCTGCTACACTATGGGGATTATACTTACAGCGTTCAACATAAAAGTAATCATTTGGACGGGATTAATATATACATAAAGGAGTTCGGTGACCGAGGGGGAGGGAAATAGGGCTCAGTTAGGATTGTTGGTAGGTAAAGTAGGCGGTCTCTGGATGACCAACGTCACCGATGCTGGCCGCCTTACAATTGACGTCTTCTGTGATGGAGAGGGGAAATTGATGCACTACCACGTTGTTTGTATCCAGGCTCTCGCCTAAGCTGGTAGTTAACACTGTATAACCTCGATCTATGGTGGAGACAGGAAAGATAGACCGGGGAAGAATTAGAACCGTTCAGAGTAGTCTGGGCGTTTGCTTAAGTATTCACCTAACACATGCCTTGTTAAATTACTGTTCCCACAGCCAACTTTCTACTTCCCAGAAAATAAAAGAGCGTGTCGTGTTCAAAAAGCCTTCTCGTTTGTTCTCACGACAAGAGTACGGAAAACAGCAACAGCAAGCAATATAACTACCACTAGCTTGCTACGCTTTCCACTTTTATAGTACCAGACATAGCCAAACTTGCCATCTCATCTCCTTCCCAAAGGACTTTTCTGCTTCCCATTTGTTCGAGTGATTATCGACTGCTTGTGTCAGGAATTGGTAAACATAATCATTTGAAGTAATGCTATCAAAAGAAGAAGAAGACAGTATCCCTCCCCTCCCATCCTCGGGTGCAAGTCTTGCATTACGTATTAGGAGGGAAAATACGAAATCCCAAACCAATGCTGTGATGACTCTTTCTGAAAAAGGGGTATTACTACACATCTTCGCGGCGTATTGCAACTACTGTTTGACTCTAAGCAAATAGTTCACGGTGAATAATTGCGTCCACAAATCATCACCACCCCTCACAAACAAAGCGAGCACAGTCTTGTGTAGAAGCCCAACGATGCATCCAGTGGCTCAACAAAAGACACAGCACAAAAGTCATTTCTCATCACAAGTAAAAACAGCACGCTTTCAAGAGAAGAAGACCTTCCAGACTATCACGGATGATTCACTATCAGGACCACATCCTTTACACCGTTTCCAGGTGTCGGGTTGTGCTATGCAAATACTTCTGTTTCAACTTTCCAATGGCGCTAACCTCGGCACGTAAAGGCGACAAACCTAGAACCACCTACATCAGGTTCGACCAACAGGTTAGGTGAGAGGAAGTTTGAAGGGGTGAGGGTGTAATGAAGGATACCAACCGACAGAATGACACAATTCTAGCCATTTGTAAGTCAATGTAACAAACTACACCGAACACCGCACAAACCTTCTGCATCACCACTGCTTTCCTTTCAACAAAAACATTTTACACAGCGTACAAATTGAAAATGCAGTCAAAGGTTAGGGATAGATGACGTTGACACCTAGCAGGTCAGAATGCCCAAGGACACAAGCTTCGGAAGTACACAACACTTACCGTATTCAGTGTTGAGAGTCTGCTCTCCACCCAAGTCCTCTGATCGAAGCAGTGGCTCAGCTGCATTGTGAGGAAAGAAAAGTGAGGAGCTTACACCCGATACAAACCATCAAATCGTGAAATTCTTATTATGTGATAAATCAAAGCACACATACCTCCATTTTCCATGTCAAGAGCAATTATCTGGTTTTCGCCGTTGCCTGTTGGGAATGTAAGGAAAACAAGAGGATCGGACATAAAGCCGCGATGATAAATTACTATTTTCCCCATAAAGAAATGATTCAGTTGAAAATTAAGTTACTTGTCCACAAAGCGCTAAGAAGCCGGGAAGGTTGTAGCTTTCAAAGGCTAGTTAAGACCTCCTATGGTAGTCAATTCCGAGGGAAGTCGATACCTCGGCGACTTTTTATTCACTCTTCTGTGAAGCAAAGCAGAACAGACACTCCGAAGCATTCGTGATCAGCAGTGCTGATTATACGGTTTCGTTCTCTCATGAGATCTTGATCTCAAAAATAACTCTTCCTCGTGGAAGACCATAGCCTAAGCCACTACCGTTAAATGGCTACAACCCAAAATACAAATGAAATACCAACGATCCTGACTGGTCAGAAATAAACCCGTGTGATAGAGAGGCCCGAATGATCCCACTTACGTTAAACAAGGAACTATCCGTCATCCTCGATGCCACAAATGTAAGTGTGAGTCGCATCCATGCATAGCAATGACAGGAAACAAGAAAACCAACTCATCGTTGCCAGTCACGGAAAGTTCGAATCCGCGATGGTTACTGACTAAGGCTAACAGTACTAAGAAACTTGCCGATTGTATATTCGATGGTTAAAACGCAACAAAATACGAGACGTTAGCATTGGAGCCCACTTTTAGCTTATCGTAAAATTACTTAGCTGTTTCAGGGCTGAGATGATAAGTGGAAATTAGGGAGCATACCAAGAGGAGCTGTACCGAAGGCGCTAGACTCCGAGCTCTGGAAGGCGACCGCGGTCTGGGTAAATGCGCCACCCCCACCACAACTACCATCAAGATGAATGGGCTCGTAGACAGGATTCCCATCAGCACCTAAACTGGTGACTGGAAATGCAACATTCTCGGCAAAGTACAGTTGATTTCCTATCAGGTAGACCTCTTTTACATCCCCATTGCCACCAAAAATGGCAACTTCTGTTGGCTCAACTGGGCTGCCCGACAACCGATGCGCTGAGATGATTGACTGGTTTTGGATCTGAGTTTTCGATGGTGATAAGGCCTGTATCAACTTCGGCATTGTAACTAAAATGTGGAGAGAATAAAACAAGCCCTCTCAATACACGTGATTTTTCAGTCATCTTTTATAAGTAAAAGCAATGAGCTATAAATTAGTTCATTAAGGAGAAAAAAGTTAATGGATTTCACTGCCTGAAACGCCTTACATGCGCAAAGCAATTTGACCACCCGTATTCGAACTCACATGGATTGGGAGTGACAAGGCGCCCATTAATGCGAATTCGTTTGGGTTTATCTGCAAAGGAAGGCAAGCCCTACGTGACCATTACTACCAAGGCGTAACTAATGCGTGTAATTAATGAGAACTTGCCTGTGTGAAAACGCCAAACATGATCATTCAGGACCTGCTTAATGGCGTACCTTCGACCACATTCATTACATTTGAAGGGGAGGATAGCTAAAGTGACAAACAAAACCACGTAGTTATACTCACATTGCAAGCTATAGAGAATACTACATCTGCCTCTAAAAGTTGAGTGCACAAACGCCTCAAGAATAAGGAACTAACCCTTATGATGATTGACAAGATGCGATGCAAGCTGCGAGTGCAAGAAGAAGCGTCGCCCACATTCATTGCAGGAGTATGTTTTAAAACCTGTAACCAGTAGGCAAATTATTTATACGTGGTTAGCATTAGGAAGAAGCAAAGAACATGAAAGGCGTGGCAAATACTCACGATTATGAACACAATCTATGTGTTTCCGTAGATCACACCGAGCGTAGAAGGAACGATCACAGAGATTGCACGAATAGCGTTTCATCTCTGAGAAAACAAAAGATAGGAAAAATCAAACCAGTGTCACAGATATGTGATACTTATTTCTTATCAGTTTATGGTACCTACTGGTTGCACTAGCTCGCCTCACAAATAGACACCCAAAGCTTAAAAGTATAAATGAGCATGCACCCGACCCGGGGAGAATTATAGTTTCTTGAGCAGTAGTGCTCCAGGTTCTTACACGGAAGCCAGAAATGGATTGCCCCTAAAGAAAGCAAATGAAGCATTGCGTGTGAAAGGAACTCACTATGGTGAATGGCTTCAATGTGAGTTTTCAGTGATTTCTTGGTATGAAGAGCCTTCTTGCAAAGGGGACATATATCCACACGGCTTGCTGTAAATACACAGACAAGCATTTGGTTAAAAAAGGGCTTATTTACACAGCAATCAGGCAAAGATAGCCAGTAGGGCCAACTTACCTTCAAAGAAGTCTATGCTGATGGATTTCTTTTGCCCTTTCAATTCATCACCTGTAGCTAAATAAAGAAAATTTTACCGACAGAGGCTCTGTTCCCATTGGTTAAGCACTAGGTTTTAGCTAATAATTTCGTCGTATGAAGCGGAACAAAGGTAAGAGAGGCCTAAAAAGTGCCCATACTTCTACTAACCTAACCAGGAATCACAAAGGCGGAAGAGTTAGGAAGCGGTCGTAACTGAGCGTGCCACATGCATACTTGTGCCTGCTAGGTTAGCTGCTGTTGCTGTTTGGCGCGACACCCGTCAGTTGTGGATGTCTACAGCAGAGGGAGTGACTGAGTGCACCGACAGCATGGTGCGTGGACTTAGAGCCATTTAAGTAAGCGCCTAGGTAGGTGACAGAGGGACATAAACGTAACCGCTAGCCGCACCACTCCGGTGTCAAGATCACAGAGACCAAATGAGTCCGCAAAGCAGACCAGGAACCGCTCAAACTCCACTTCATCGATTGGACTTTCTACTCAATTATTAAAAGTGATAAGGCAGCTAAACCCAAGGAATTGTCAGCAAACACAAATCTTACTACAAGAGCTGCACGGTGGCGCACATGATTAACACATTCTCCCAAAACATTGTGCTTTTTGGCGTGTAAATGAAATGTCCTATCTACTAATCTACGCCTTAGGAGAACCGAAATCCAATCTACCTTCATCAGTTTCACCTGGATTTTCGTACCCTCCCGCCAGTTCATATTCATAATCCATTACATTGCTTCGTCCAGCTGAAACAAAACAGCAAAAGCTAAGTGATCGGACCATTGGAAAAGTGCCATAGCGATTAAAATCCAAACGCATAAAGCAGGTGTTGAACTAGTCGTATGGGGTAGTTTACCACATTTAAGTTGCTTTTTGTTGTTTTGCCTTTGTAAAAACAATAGTGAAATCAACTGCACAAAGTTTGTATTTTTTTAAAACGGAATTAAGGCTTCTACATACAGACAAGCGTGGAGGGTTCATTACATTCAGGGTTATTTAAACTACTGTCTTCCTCGGTTCCATTTGGTACGTCCGCAGCAGTCTCAATTGCTCTGGTCTCTGGTTCCGCCACTGCCTCTGCCGTCTTCGCCTCGGCTTCAGCTGATACATAAAAATGGGAGACATTTATAAAAGCAGAACGGGAAAAGTAAATGGCATTATAAGTAGCAACTAAAGTTAAGCTAATAATACCATGATCAAAATGTTTCGGGAATAGCTCAAGAGGAAGAAAGTTGTACTATTTCACCGATAGCTAGCGGCATTCTGCCCACTTGTCAACATCTACGGCTCCAATTGAGCAATAAGGGAGCAGTGAACTCTTGACACGTACCAATTAACCAATTACATAAAAATGTGACAGAAATAGAAATTAACATGATAATGATCGACGACAAGCACACTGTTATTCGCCTCCGAATGACCGAGTTGTCAGCGTTTAAAATCATTTAGGAATTTGTATCTTTAGTACAAAAGGGAGTATTTAATCTAGGAGATGTTAAATAGTGGGTTTTGTGCATTTCCTGCACAGCTGTGGGAACTTCTTGTTAAATGAAAAACGTACTCGAAAAACTCACCGATAAGGCGCTTCTGCCTGTCGCATTCCTCTTGCAGTGTGGTTTTCTCCGCTCGAAAATCATTGCGCATTGCAAATACAGATCCGGAACCATCACCTGAGCGCAAAGGAGCCAGATTAAATGAAAACTTCTAGATGATAGAAATTAACAATCTTTATAGAAAATTCAAACACACCAACGTGTTCTCGACGAATGTGTTGCCGAAGAAACTTCTTCCATCCAAACACCTTTCCACATTGCTCGCATTTGTACAAGGTTTCACCTGAAAGAAAAATTGTACACTTTTATCACTTAGCTTACCCTCAGAGACTCGAAAAATGGCAAATAAAATTCGCCGAGCAAGACTCACTTTGATGAACCTTTTCCATGTGGTCTCGCCATTCCTGAAGCTCGTCAAAGCCAGTCTCACACTCAGGGCATGTAAACATTGACGGCTCTAAAAACGCAAGAGAATAACCACGATTGATGAAATGAAACCAAACTAATTACGATGAAAAAAAAATCACTCACTTAAGTGGGTTGACTCTAAATGCTCAAATACCTCCTGCGTACTGAGAAAACGTTGTCCGCAGATGTAGCATCTGGTTCTGGGAAACGCTTGTGTGAAAGATGCAATTGGATTATGAGAAAGGTGATTAAGAGGGATTGGAAACATGTAACCAAAGTGACAACTGTGATCGTTAAAGATGGGAAGCGGAGTCCTGGTGTTGGTTAGCACTACGACTTACCTCGGTGACGCTCGTTCATGTGCTTACTCATCTCGGCAAGTGGGAAAATGGAGAGGCACACCAAGCACCTGCATTCATTTTCGCGCAATTCTATAGGGGGTAAATATAAAGATGATGTAGGGTGTAGTTCCAGCTGAGAGAGCCATGTAATGATTTGGCAGAAAAAATTACCCCGTGAATCCAAATCGACATTTGCATTGTTAAGGAAGGCACCATCGACTCGGCATTCTTCTCGTGAAGGAGGACTGTCGCCTGCACGGTCGATGGGAGGGGGTAAAAAAGGCGTTCGGACAAATGGAGCAAGTGAGTTTATTCCAAGGCTTACATTGATGGAGACTTCGTAAATGCCTGACGAGTTTGAGGTAGTAGTAATAGCCCTTGTCGCACTCGGGACATTTGTAGTTATAAATGCCTAGAAAATTGACAAGAACTGGTAGTCTCAAGACGACTAATGAAGTGTTATCAAGGAGTTGTTAAAATTACCATAATGTGCCGTTTTTATGTGTATGCGTGCATTGTCAGCCGTTGGGAAGAACTTCCCGCAAATGTAACACTGATCCTTTGGGAAGCCTGCAATAAATCACCAAAATGCACTGTTAGTAATGGGGTTTCCAACCACTTAGGATATCAAAAGATCCAAGGGGTAAATTATCAAACGGAATGGGAAATGCACAATCGTGGAAAGGGGATGACAAAAAGGAAAAAGGGAGCACTTACGCCTGTGAATTTGCCGCACATGAGCTTCAAGGGTTGTGGGAAGGAAGGATTTACCGCATGCAAAACACGCCATTGAGTCACCTGCAGGTTTGAATTGTGATAAATCACAATAAAATTACAGAACAATGCCTCCTTCAGGAAAGGGAGAGCGTAAGTAATCTGCATTAAAAGTAGTTACCAGTTGCACTGAAGAACAAGTAAGTACATTAAGCATGAACGGCCGAAAACAAGGTTGAGAAGCTACCCCATGGATAAAACGAATTGAGTTGCTCAAACTTCAATAACGAAAAACCCTGCTATTTGCACAAAAAGTTGCGATTCTAGTAGGACATGCATAAATAAGTCCGGCTTACCCGAACGTCGAACCCCTACGAAAAAATTTTTAAAAAGGTAAGACGTTTTGAAGGATGAATTGAAACCAGTTATAGAATATTAATGTTTACCTCTTTCTCTTTGATCCCCAGATGAATCTACAATAGCAATTTATCATCGTCAACCTCACACAGAAGCCCAAACTTCAAAGCAACAAAGGGAATTACATATAGGAGACAATGTTACCTTCATCGTAAGTGACATTCATATCTGAAATCAGAATAATTAAACGTCAATGATCGGCTATTTTACAAGTCGGATTACCATTAAAGTTTTACTAGTGAACCGATTTAATTATTTATAGGTAGGGAGCAGTCAAACATCCACTGATATGGCATATTGTGGCCAAGAGCACTTACATATTTGACTAAATGTCTGCGTTTTATAACTGATAACATGGCAAAGGGCGTACACAAATGTAGAGGCATGACGGAGGCACTAGAGACTAGTTTTTTCCCTCGATAACGATTTAGCTTGGAGCAAAACGACATATTGACCATTAGGTGGATAAAAACACAAAAAATATATACCTGTGTCCTCATCTTCTGTTGGTCTGGAAGTGTCAACTAGAAAAAGGCAAAAATGAAAACATTTAAAGGCGATGTCGTTGAATTATTGTAAATGAGCAGAAATCACTAATGGACTCACAGAAACTTTCATAGTCATCAAATCCGCGGGGAATTTTGCGCTGCCTCTTCTCGTACAACGGCCGAGGAGAAGTTAGGAGCAGTAGTTCCGACCTGTTTCGCCTTCTGTAGGGTCGTCTCTTCCTGGGCTCGGATGAAGAGGAGGAGGAGACGGTCTTGGCAATTTTCAGCCGCCTTCGTCGCCGCCCCCAGCGGCGTCGATGCAGGGGCTTAGAGGGTGAGGACTCCTCGAGGGATTCGGGTTTTAGGACATCCTCCGCCTCCTCCTTCCCCATCTCGCTGACCTCTACGAGGGCACTTTGAGCCGCCTTCAGGCGAGCGCTATTCTCCTGAAGTCGCGTCTCCTCGCGGTAGAAACCGTCAATCATGTTGGCGTCTCTGGAGAGATCTACCCACAGTATTTTCGAAGCCGAGTCTAATAAAAAAAATTAAATCAGGCTCTAATGTTAATGTTGACAACGATTCTAACCAGGAGAAATAAGGTAGTGCTTAAAAATGTCAAAAGACGGCACCATGTATTATGTATTAAACGGAATAACTTAACTACCACCAAGCTCTATAACCCTTACAAAATGAGAATTTGACTATAAATACAATCTTTATTTCAAATGTATTAAACAAGCTTTCCAATAGCCTAACTAAGTAGTACTTTCTGTGGTGATAGAAAATCACTGCACTAGCAAGAATCGGTTCGATAGCACTGATAATGACAAGAATATTTGATGCTTCGAGCAGCAACTTTTCTTGGCATGGCAATAAACACAAGCTATATAGTGTAGGTTATATGCGAACCCCTTTCGCTGTAAGCTCCATGAAATTCCCTCAGAGATGACAATAAAACTAGAGAGCTATTAAGATGGCCACAAAAAAATAGATAGCCAAAAGCCAACTGGAAAACAAGCAACTTCAAATATACGACGACTGTAACTCAAAAATCCAGATTTCCCAAATAACACTGGTAATAGTTGCTAGAAAAGCTATAAAATGTTGTAAAATACGTGAAAACGTGCAAGAAACTAATATGTGCTAGTAAGCGCACTAAAATAAATAACACAAAAGCCAATTCAATTTGGGAGTTCGCGAATCGTTATCCAGAGATCAGCAATACACGAAAGCACCAACGTATAACGACGGGTTCGATATCAAAACGCTGGTAAAAAGGTGCATACTTTAAAAACAATAAACCTAAAAGAGTTTCTCTCTACATAAACTAATGTGAACAGACTGTTAAAGCACAACTTCCGACCGTTAAAACTAGAACAGCCTTTGAGGTACAAAACAAGACAGTCCAAATTTAACTGCAAAATATTGGCAAGCACACGCCTTACAAATGCTTGCATAAGCAGAGGGCGACTAATCAATAACAAATCAGAAGCTTATACTCAGGTCTAAAACACTTATGGACCTTAAGCCAGTCAAAGTCGCCAACAAACATGTGCTGGCACTTAAATCTCAAAGATCGTATTCACGGTTTTAAAGCAATAGGAAAACACAATGATAGGAAAAAAAACCATACTGCCAATACATGTTCTCATTACAGCTGTACACGTACTTTTCCGATTTCCTTCGGACATTTAAAACAAAAACAGGGGCTTCCAAAACATGCGCGCTATGCAGGCCCAGTTCGGTTAATCAAATCATTTTTTCGGACCTAGAAAATGTGCGTTATTCATAAAACATGTAAAAGTCTCAAAAGTGTTACATTTCATTTTTTTACCTTTCGTAAGCCGTAAAGTTCTATCTTTTTGCTATTTATTAGATTTTCCCCGTTTCACAGTGTTGACTGTAGTAAATATGCATAACGTAAAATCTTAACCTACAACAAATTCGCCATTCGACTTTTGCTAGGACGTTACAAATATTGAGCCACAATAATTCTATAAAAACTTTCAGAGTTCCTACTGATTTCTACTATCTTAGCCTTGCATTATCCAATACCATGGACTGAAAAAGCGAGCTAAACAAAACCCAACTATTTTGATCACACCATAGTTAGTCAGTACTTTAAAGTGACTGCCAGGTCTACTTAAATCTAATTAATAATCACGTCTCAATCAAACCTACCTACTACCGACCTAGGTCGCTCAGTTAGCCGATGCATTCTTCAGCCCACGACTTTGGCATTTCTTCAAAGCTATTTTGGAGTCCATAGACCGTGTGAATATGTCAACGTACGAAGCTAGGTCTATTACACAATCCCTGGTAAATGCTCACATCGCACGAATGTGAGGGTGGGAAAGTCGCATCCAGACGATTTAGTCTCAAGAAGATTCGAATAAGGTAAGTTTTGAATTCAAACCCTCCAAGAGGGTTTCAAAAGATGCAAAATCTAGTTACCTGTCCGATCCTTCAAATTTGACGTTTATGTAGCGTCCCCAGACTTCCTGAAGACGAAAGAAGACACAATACTCGGGCAGAATATATATATTCAGCGCAGAGAGAGTGTCTAGGCTATTGGGATGCCCCAAAAGGCCAGTCCACCCAGCAAGGTACAAGGGGGCTAATTCAAAGTCCAAAAGTGGCTCCTCACCAATACCGAGGGCTAAACCGCTATCGTATTACGCATGTGTTTTTCTCCTAAATATTCCCTCAGTTCTGCCATTGACCGAATCAGGTGCCGCTGGGAATTGGCAAGGTCGTCTACTTTTTATTAGCAAATTTGGTACAAATGCGTTATGTTTAATTCTACGCACACTTCCAGTAGACCGAGAATTGAATTATTTCTTGTTAAGCTTTTGGCAAAGCAGTTGATAAACCTTCATTTCTTCTCACATAACTTATCATAATATCTGCCACATATATTTGTCATTATCTCTACCTATATTTTAGATATGGAAAAGTCAGTCGACTCTCAGTTGCACTATTCCACCACCAAAATCAACTGTCCCTTTAATAGACATTGAAACTCTCACACTTAACGATGTGTGTAGCATCAACATTTTTGCAGAGATTAGCATATTCGCCTACTTGATTGACGCACATCCTTTGGTGTAAATGACCTCGTGGAAAATGTTTCCTCTCTCTATTCATCGACAGGGCGTTGTACAGACGCAGTTAAGAAGGAATCCGTTTGCTAAATAGTTACTCATTCTAACCACCTTTTCCCACAAAAATTCATGTTTGATTAATTTGTTAAATATCCATCGTCCAGACTGTCACCAGACGTCTCATCCTGCATGCCTCTACGCAAAAAAGCCTTTTTAAATCCAAAACTGACTCCTCCCCCCACCCCTTTTACCTTTCTTGGTTGATTGTACGTGGGACGACTATAACGGGGTATTGAAAGGAAGCAATGAGGAGGAGAAATGAAGTGGGGGGGGGGGGGGGCAAATAGCAAGTCGTCAAAACGCATTACCATTCATGTTCGCCCACTTTACCCGGCCCCCTAAACAGCAATAACACCTTCACCATTTTGTCACAGTCAAAATGACAAATTTCACACCTCCCTTTTAAGGGAAGTCCGCGGCCTACTTTAAAGTTAGGAATTTGCTCTTTGAGGCTTTTTAAAACAAAAGGAACAGAAAACTCCAACTCAAATGAAGTAGGTTTTGCGTATCTCGAAAAGCCTAAAGAGTGGTACTTTATGTATAGAGGTGGCACAATGCATGAATCGCTTCCAGGATCAAAGTATCCTGTTATACCAGTTGCATACGAAAAGAGCAGGGATTTTTTTACCTAAATAAATAAAGACCTTAATAGTTAAACTCCCCTGTTCATCCTATTTTGCTTCTGCAATTGTAATATGTGTTTATCAAGCCTTATTCCTATGTGAATTGGCCTAAGTAAATAGCCATGCTTCGACGTGCCTAGAAGTAAGTTTTTGATACCAACAGCTTATTTAATAATATTTAAAGCGCTTTCTGGGAGGTTACCTCAGTGCCAGGAAATTAAAACCATCATTAAGGATATGACGAACAAACCGAAGCCACGAAACTCACAAACCGGTACATTTTGGTCCCTGCTAGACGAGCGTACACGATGAGGGGGATGCAATAGGGTGCCAAATCCAGGGCTGGTAAAAAAGGTTATGGCATAGGTAAACTCTACATCTATTATAATTTGGGTGAATCAAGTCATTTTGTTACCAGATAATCCACTTAAGACCAAATTAGGAAGGTTATTACTACCTAAGTAGCAGATGTTAACATCACGCCTGCTAGACAAAGACTAAGACATCCACCAATTCTGACCTTACTTTCAGGTGAACCAAAGTATGCAAATTGCACGAGCCTATCAATCGTTTGACGGGCAGGAAGTTTTGAAGGTCTCAGTACGGAGTAATCAACCTTCATGAAGTTATTCCGATTTATGAGACCCTCAAAATTGCAAATCAAGTCAAGTTACAGATCAAAGAAATGATTTACAAATGAAGTAGACTTTTTGTTCACGTTCTTTTACCACTTAGCACAAAAAAACTTCTTAATTTTTCTTGAGGCGTCACCATTTACTCAGTGCGTGGTATTCAGGTCATTGATCACAAGAATAAATGATTAAATGATACGATCAACTGAATGGCTTTTTCTCTACACAAAAGTACTCTGACCTCAGCACGAAATCTTTGATTGACAAGGGTTTGGCTCTGTGGTAAACAAATATTTAGTTTTTTTTTAGGAACCACGAAAGTCATGTTACACATATACGTGACACTGGCAATGCAGAACGCTAACCACGACAAAGTTAAGAAACTTTAAATTTGCTTGTTATCTAGTATTTTCCTAAGTTTAATTTGCTAAATTGACAAAAAATCAAGCCAGTCAGTTATAGCCATTACATCCTGACCAAAAATAAGGCAAAAAGACAATTTGTTTACGACGCTGGGACGGTAAACGTGCATTCATTACTTCCTAATCTGTTTTGGTTCTAAAAGCCTAAGGCGGCGGATTTGGTTGCAATAGACTTTACCAGGTACACCACACTTGCTGTCCTATTAGGCTAAAGTCTTTCGACCGCTGAGGCGTCTTATTCATTGGAATTATGAGAGAAAAGGTAAATTTCAAGCGATATATGGACAACTAATTAGCGAAATTAATCAGGCGTAATTACCTCCGCTACGCAAATGGAAATCACCTAGAGAGGTTAATCACCAACGCATATCAGCGACTCTCTCTCTCTCTCTCACCATCTAGCGTAGCAACGGTAACGCATGCGTAAATTTATTTGCAAGTAACTAGTCCTAGCAACATCGCATCAAGAGGCGAAATTTGGATTTGCGGATATAGCTTTAAGGCTGTTGTTTTATTCATGTTAACCCATTGTAGACACCAGTTGTAGTGCTTTGGTATCTTGTTTAAATACGCGAGCATTTCAGTCTCCGCCGGTTGTACCTCTACTTCTATTGTGGGAGGTGGGGGTGGAAAAGGGACATGGTCTTAGGGTCAGTGCTAAAAGCCCCCTAATCCCTTCGCACCTTTCCAGACTCCATTAAAGACTGGGAGCTATAATGGTGCTACTTCTACAGGGGAAATCGTCACTCAAGGGCCCAGATTAAAGAAGAAATTATTTTCGATAAAACAAAACGTGTAAAATTTTGCGCACGAAAAAACCGCATTACTGGCTGAATACCATCATAGCATTATCAAAACCACATGAATCCGTCAGTTGACAGGTGACAAACAATACACGGACACGTTAGGTCAGGATGACAAATTTAGAGGACAGCGACATCCATGCAACATTTTGAACGGCACCAAGCCATAACATCTGCCAGCATTCGTAATGGTGCGCAATAAGTATAAACAATTGACCCTTTATAAGAAAAAATAACAACTGAGGTAGGTAAACTACAGGGGGAATATCCATTACTTATCCCCTCTAATTATCTTGTCGTCTAACGTTACAAGGGCGCATATCCCCAATGAAGGAAAATAAATTTTGAACTGTGAAGGCTATACAACGTTTAAATACTCGGTGAGGACTACTCCTGCGTTCAAATACCAGAAGTTTTACCTATCTAAGATTATCTATTTGTCTATGCCAAATGGCTGACAAAGAAAAAAGGAGCTTCATCTTGTTGAAAGTCTGTCAACGAATGAAAAGCTAAACAATGCAACCAAAACAGGCAATGTAGCGAGAAAAAAGTAATTTCAGAGTAAATTTTTCGCATACCAAGCAGTCATTCTGTCATCGTGTGAATCGTCTTCGAGGTAAGTAATTGTGGTTGTCAAATGCCATCATAGTTATTCTCCAGGTCTACAGTGAAATGTACGTTTACTTCAATGTGTAACTGCAAAAACGACAATTGAAAAGGTAAACTTATACACAACGACGCACACTCACGTAGTAAACAGCGCATCTACGGTAGAAAAACCAAAATTCCGTCTATTGATGTACAACAATTGAAACTGTTTCAGAAATCCTCGTTTTTTTCCTCCTCCTAATTCTGCAAGACAGTTATCCATAGAGTACACTGTTTTGCTTTAAACAATTAGTAAAACTCAAAAACTACACACAGTGTAAATTCATAAGACAATTCAAAGTAAAGACCCAAAAGTAACCTGGACACGTAATCAAAGGGAAGGCAGTAACATTTAAATTTTTAACCTCGGCGAAATGCCTGGAACTTTACATGCGCAAGCGTGACTTCTCTGTGGGGGTTATTTGTAATGCACCACACCCATACATGACGCATTTCAAGAGTGCACAAAAAATCGATCAAAAATTTCGCCTAACTGAAAATTCACGCGAGCCAATAAGCTTGCCAATGAAGGAATGACCTTGAGAATAGAACAGCCAATCACTTCTTCCTTAATCGACCGAAACTGTCTAGCTTGGTGTGCTGATTGGCTAGGCAGAGAATGGCGTCCACTTTCCATATTTCAGTTCTCCCTGACTCTTCCACTGTCCATGCGTTCCTGTTTGAACCACCCACATTCAAGCCTTTTGTAGTCGCTTTTGTTTTCGATTTCGTGGGCTCTAAGTAAGGAATTAGGAACTAATTAATGTTGTGGCATTACAGGTAAAGTACACACAAGTGGACGAAGTGTCTCATGAACACTGATGTCTTCATTTTTTTGATTCATCCGGTCAAAGGTTTTGTTTATGGTCTCAAGAATTTATTGCTTCAATTTTGGGATTCGGAGTACGATATCTTGAATGAGAAATGCATTAAGAATGGTTTCATTTAACATGAGTCGGTTCAGTTTACCGCTCTCGTGCATTGAAGGTTCGGCGAATAAACGTGCACTTGCATTGTGGCCACGACAAATGTAAGCTGTAACTCCTTCTCGTCCTTCACGTTATGTGCTCCTGAAGTGCAGGTACCGTCACGAAGCGGTGAATCTAAATACATTTCCACTCTTGAGATCGAATTATTTACACCGCTCTCTCCTGCTAGATGTAAATAGCCAAAGCGTATGAAAGCTAGCATTACTAGGGCGGTGATTAAAAACGACATTCTCTTCCCCCCTTCCCTCTGAAGTGTGCTCTATCAAGACGGTAGTGAACATGCAGGCGGAACTCAGTGCCTCTGACCCGTCGGGACATGGGTCGACGTTAAAGCGTGACTCATATCTTCGAGGGGTTTTACTAACGCGCAATGCTTGCGTGACAGGGATTTTTGTAGCAAATCTCACAAGTAATGGGAAAAGCGAGTGTTGGTAATTGACAGGAGCCCCGGTTAGTACTGGGAGCTTCAAGTCCTGAGCTCAATCACATCCATTCACTGTCATGTTTTTCATGAAGTTGTTGTTGGTAGTTAAATGCTAGAGAAAATGAAGAACGAAACTGATATTATTTCACTTCTTAAATAAGCATTTCTCCATTACTTCTCCTGTTTGCATAGGTTCTTTAGAGACACAATATGCTTGGACGTAAAAGAATCGGAAGCAGTTAAATCTCAGCTATCACTTGGCCACCAATGTATTTTCACATTATGCGCTTTTGAGACACTTTTTCCTTTTCCTGTTCTAAATAATAACTCTTCTCCCTACCATAGTGGGTTAATTTTTGGAGCCATTCAATTAACGCTTTACAATGTAACACGAGAATGTTAAGCATGGTTGCGGAGGCCCTAAACTCACCTGACATCTCCTGCATGCTGTCTGTACAACTGAAATTTCTTATCTCAGGTCAATGCTTCATGTTGATAGTTACTCTGGATTTCATAAATACCTTTCAATTTCTCATAACTTGATTTTGCACTAATTAAAGGCAATTTCCCATCCCATGATTTACACAACTCATTTTTATTTCTACTTACGAAAATAAGATTACCAACCTTGTGATAATACTAACTGAGAAGAACGATTTAATTTTATATGAATTTTAAGTATGAGGTAACAGGTGGGGATACAATGGGTAAAATAAGCAAATTATAGAAGGCGCTCTGAAGTGGCCAGATAATTGAATCATAGGCCTTTTAAACATTCATCTAAAAGAGGAGTGAAGTGGAGACTTCACCTCAAACTGGATCCTTGAAGGTGCATGCAAGGTGTATTCAAAACCGCTGGGAGTGGTAGCAACTTAGCTTAGGGAATCATGGAAAGAGCCCCGCAATTGCCACAAATGAGGAGGACTGTAAGTATAAATAAAAATGATTTCCTCACTCCACAAGTTGCCTTTGTAAATTAATCTTTTCCATGAAAATCAGAACGAGGGATAAACACATTTCAGCGTGAAAGAAAAAAGGTATCGACAAAGTAGTTTTATATATTTATGCCTAAAATAGGAGGAACATGCTTATTCACTACTTCTAATGCTTATCTTCAGGCTGAAAAAAAGAGGAGAGGAAGGAAAAGCACAATAGTCGATTTCGCAATAGGGTTAGGTGAAAAAAAAAAAAGGGACCTTCCTTCAACCACCGAAGCAACACCATCAGCTGAGCTGAGTCGGCTGACCGCATGTGAGTAATCGGGGTGACTCATCCACCTTGTGACGTTGGTCTTGGGGCGAAATTACAAACGGGGCGGGAGGAGGCTAAGCAATTGGGCAATTGCATGCGCCAGCAAACACCACCGCTATTCAAGAGTGGCCTGCATGTTCGCATGGGTATGTGTATTGGTGCAAAAGGCGCTAGAACAGAGAGAGAGAGAGAGAGAGACCTTCCCCTCCCTCTGCGTGATTCCAAGTGCCCTTTTTTATGGGGATTTCCTAGTATGGGAAATGACTTGGTTTAGTTTAAGAAGTATGTATCGAAAAAAGGATTGAAGGGATTCTAGCTTCCTAAATTTGGGGTAACGGGAACAGTATACCCTCGGGCTATTTCTAATTTTACCTGTAAAAGTGAGAATAACGTACTTGACTGGACTTCCAGTCAAGTAGATGGACGTGTAGTACGTTCATGAAAACCGTTAGCTCCCAACACAAAAAGGAAACTCACAAGGCGCCGAAAAATGTGTAAATTAATCAAATATATTTTTCCTTTTAAAAAAGCTTGTAAGAGCTTCGATATTCTGTACTTTTATAGTTAGATCAGCCCACACTCTTATGATTCCTTTTTCACAAGGGCGCATTTTTTTACCAACTAACCTGGGCAAGTGTGTCTTGACAAAGGAATCATATTATTTCTTCCAAAAGAAACATTTATCTATAATACAAGGTACCACTATGTCCTTCTCTTGACATAGCCTGACTGAGTCGTGTATTTCAGTTCTACATATTGTCGAACATTTCGACAACTCGATTATTTCAATTGGAAAAAAGCAGGGACTTTTTGTTTTTACTGAAATGTGGTATGAAGAGGGACCTAGAATGTTTTGAGACCGAAGGCAGAGAACGCCTTCTATCTGAACTCACGTGACTGTCACAAGTCAAGTGCAATGATTGAACTATGCAGAACAGAGGGACTGTAAGGGTTATGCGGTCAGGGAAACAACAACCAGCATGCAGTGTGTCATCTTCCCAATTTATTTTTCTTTTGTTGTTTTTTTTGAGTTACAAAACGGTGGTACTGCTAACTGAAGTGCGTCTTATATGTGCCTTTATAATCTAAGGGCTTCTTAAGGCCTGGAGGATTGAGTGCAATTCCAATCACGCCAGGATTTACGCTAGAAATAAATCATTTTTTTATCGGCAAAACTACATTCAAATGATATAAAATAATTAAAAGATACTAATAAAAAAAACAAAATATATGAATTTACAGGTGTGAGTGCAAGAGCTTAAATTTGGGCACATACTACCATTACTAATACATGCTGGAGTGATGAAAATGCTGAACGATGATGGCTGGGGAAAACACATTTCACTGGTCGTGATAACATTTATACGTTGTGTTACTTTCCATAACATGGGGCAAAGAATGTAAATGTTATCGAAAAAAATCGGTACAAGGCACCTTGTCATGTCACACAGACGCGACAGCCTATCTGAGAGAAGTGAAATTATGCTAAGCTTATTAAGTCGATTGGTGGTAGGACCACATGGTGGCGACTTATTTAACTTATCAGAGGATCAGTTAAAGTTGTCTGCTAGGCACACTTTTATAAAAAAAAAAGACCCATTAGAATCCCCCATGCGGAAAATATCGCTAGCTCAATGTAAAACAAATGTTTTCTAATAGGAATGCGTAAATCAAAACCTACCTTTGATTGTAAGGTAATCTCACATGGGAGCTGGGGAGTGGATACGCAAAATTTGGAGGTATCACCTCCGCGTGTTCCTCCATCGAGACTCCAATCGGCGAAATTAGTATACAAGTTAAGGTTACCAGTTCAACCTCTTCGATACAAAATAAAACGATCATAGTGACATTTTGAAGTGAAAGTTAATGCATGATAATCGAACAAAATTCCATAGCTTTATTAATTAAGACTAATTGGCCACAGGCAAGAATGGCTGCCTTACATTTCACATTTTGGTGAGCACTTAGTTGACATTGAAGACGTTTACTAACCAAAATAACGCAGTTAAACTCGCATCTCCACCTTGACATACCATATGGTGTTTGAACGACATGCTAATCGCAACTCAACAGATTCGCACGTACACCATAGCCGGAACAATGAAAGAAAAGTTTTCAATTCTTCCTTATTTCCACGATTCATCGTTCATATTTCCAATGCAAATTTTATTCATTTATCTCTGTTAGTTTGGAAGAAAGTGGAAAGATGAGGAGAGGTGAATAAGGTCCCCGCAGTTCCCTGCAAAATTGACAAGTGACTCAGCTTAACCGGTGCGCAGACAACTAGCCTGTGAACTAATTAGTAAATCGATTATCGATAATCCTTTGTAAAGTCTATGTAGACCTTGGAAATTAAGAGTAATCCATGAGAATTTCCTAGCCACCTTTTTAGTTGCTTTATGCCATAAAGAGCTGCTATTGTGAGTGGGCGTAGTAATTTCACCCTTTTAGCACAAGCCGATCGTGGAGGCTATGATTTACCACCATTTACAAAGGCAGTGAATTTCATCCACCCACCCAATTTAGGCACGCGGTTATTTGAGTGCACGGAATGTCTATCACCTTCATCGCCTCTGTAAAGACCTTTATTAAATCATGCACGGTCTGTAATTTATAGTCACGAAGGGGGAATGAAGCGAGGAAATTATTCCTCTTCCTTCCCTCCCCATCCCCAAAAAAGAATGGAGGAAAATATTAATTATGGACAGAAATCCGCATAACCGCTGTGTTCACCTTAGAGGTTAGGTCGAATTTGATTGGCTCGCTTGACCTGGGCAAGAGTTCCGAGTGTAGCGTCAGGATGATTTAATGCGGAAATGGGTATGGCGCAATACACGTAGGAGACAGGCGTCATGTAGGGTGGATCTTGAGGGCGAGACACCCAAACACACGTGCATGCATGTATCCTAGCCCGTCGGACCTCGTGCGCACACATATGCACACCTGCATAGTACCGGAGTAGCCCGCAGTGTGTGTCAAAGAATGGAGCCCAGACGACAAAAAACAGACTGTTTGCATTCACAGAGTCAGCATCCAGGCCACATTTGCATGTGTACGTGGGTGCGCAGGTCTGTACCTGCCCGGACCCATGCGGATGTGTGATGCATGTGAATGGAGTTATTTTTTTTCTGGCGACACAACTTCCGTTCGCGTTAAGCGCAGTGGTACTTAGCGCGCGACGACCGCATCGATGCGACGTTATCGATTTTTTCGAGGTGCAGTCCAGATGCCACCTTCTAACTGTTGCAAAGACGCGCAAGTTAAAATACACCATTGCTGGTAATTAAACTGTGAAATACCCATTTACCCAATTTAATATAATCAAGGCATACTGTTGAGTGATTTCTTCTTTTTACTCATTCCCTTGACGTGTCAATCAATAAGAAACACGATTTTTGGAGTAGAATGCTGTGCCGAGAGAGACGGTTAGGCTACATTTTTAAGGAGTTCTATTTCCTCCAGTGACACCTTAAATTATGACAAAAATCATAATATTTTCTTAATTGTGTACGTATTGCTAAACGACGCTTGGCCCCCATAGTGTTCCATCGTAACCTGAAGTTTTAACAAGACAAGAGTTCATTTTTGGTAAGGCGCTTTCATTACAAAACGTGGGTCATAAACACGGGTCTGAATGAATCGAATGAAAAAAGCAAGAAGATGCATGAATTTTCCTCGGTCCATGAACCGCATTAAACTAAGACAAGGATATAGAAATGGCCTAGGAGTAGAGGCTACTTGCATATCAATCCCAAATTTACAAAGGCAACATTAACAAATCGTAGCCTTCAATTCACCTAGCAAAATGTCACAATATGAAATGTTCGAGAAGGTAGACAGGCTACGAAAACATAACTCTAAACATTCGCTAAAATTGTAATCGTGTTTGATTCATGTACGCCATCAACCTCAACTAGAACGGGTAAGTTAAGACGGGGACTTTCTCAAACCTCAATCTCAGGCGCCGAGACAGATGATGTCCTAACAGCAGCCTGATTTTGACTCGTCTGAGTGACAATATCTGACTGTGAGCAAAGCTCAACCCTAGACAAACCAGGTGGAGTGTAAGAACTAGGGGAGAGGGCTGACTCTGGGTCTAAGTAACACCTGGGTGAGCAATAAATGATGCAACCCAACCCCAGCATTTCGTTCATTTCACTAGCTTTGGGGTAACCCGATACGCTGGTACAAGAAACGGCGAGGACAGCTACCATTACCCGATCTTTTTCAGTAATGGACGGAATAATCACCTTTCCGGTTTTTACTTAAATGTCGGTATATCCGAGCCGCGTTTGGCCAAAGGAGGTCAGCACTACTGCGAACCCAATGGAAAAGTTGAATAAGACGCGGACCTTGGGATGGATGCACACGCATATGCACACATGAGCGCGGTAGATGGCGTACGCGCACATCCTACATCACATGACCCTTATGCCGCCATCATCGATGGCGTTATTCACACACAAACAACACACTAACAAAGCGAACTCATTGGACCCTCCTCGCAACACAGTACGGGATCGACGACAACACGAAACAGGAAAGCATTCAATTACCGTGATTCGAGAACAACAGCATGGCTGTAGAGGCACAACCACAAATTGACAAGGATTAAGGCGGTAAGAATGTTAAATACTTGGGGAAAATTCACTAGCACTGCGGATTCTACAAAATTCATCTAATAAACTGCTTTCGTTCGAATCTAGGACAGCAAAACTTAATAAGAACGCAAATAGGAAGTTATCACTTACCAACAGCACGAACGTTACACGCTACGAGAAACGGTAGTCAGCGTCAGTGGTTTGAGTGACAAAGATTGTCTTGGGATGGCAAGAGAAATGGTAAGAGAAATCGCGCATGAGAAAGACAAACGTATAACGTACGCACCCAGTGACCCAAGAGCCACAGGTAGACCCAACATCGCAAACAACGAGTTCACAATGAAATCGTTGAAATTTGACATTAAGGGCAATAGAACCACACGCTGCCCGTCGCATTCGAAGCAGGCCACCGATTCAAAATCTAGCCTTTACCAGCATGCGCAGGCGCCGAAAACCACCTTCAAATTGAGCGAAGACTATGCGGCTACACACTGAACGCGAGACGACACGGATAATAAGATCCGAACCGAAAAATGCGACCTCATCGCAAATACTCGTAAATGAAAACGAGGCAAAGGCCACTGGGCTTCATTATAGCAAATCCAAATACCAAGACTGGCCAGCGGCAGCAATCGCAACCACTAACCCAGGCATTTTACACTAATACGCCAATTCAAGGAGTAGGAGAAAGCAAAACAGTTCTGAGCAACAGTTCGCATCACTCAGCTATAATGGTTGATAGAAAAAATCTGAGCTAGTTGGGAACTAACCTGCAAAGATACGAGTGTTCAAGAAGCACAAATATTAAGGAATTTCGAACTTTTCATCTTTATTTACAGCAGGACTGAAAACGTGACAAGGCTACAATGGAATCCCAATGGTATGAGAAGCACTCAGGAGCAGGGGAAGAAGGCGGCTACCCTGGGTGTCATGAGATAGGGGAAAAAAGTACACGGGAGTTGGAATTACAACACATTGACAAGAAACTGCTGAACCACCTCGAAAGCTTCGTCTGAAGTCTGTGTACAAAAGATTAAGAAGTCTGGCATGCACTGAATCTGCCGTCATCTTGAAAGGCTGAGGCTCTGTTTCATTTCCTGCGGCGCGTCAAGAGGTCAGCATACGATTGCGAAAGAGGGGATATCACAGATCATTCGACGACATTTCAAACACACGAGGATCCAAGAGTAGTAAAAGAAGGACAACGCTGCCAGATCGAAGTAAGTACACCTTTGCAGTATAGATGAATTATAAATGCTAGGTAGCAGGAAGAAAATGCATCGAAAAATCAGAAGTGATTTGTGAGTGCTGCCTGGAAGGGGCGAAAAAGCACGATCTAAGCACATAACTTAGCCATTCGTACAACCCTGGGGAAACTCCAAGCACTCCATAGGAAAAGTCAACAATTCTAAGAAAAATGATTCTGACACTGAACAAAATTTATACAGGAAATAAAAAATGTGGATCAAAGATTTAGACAGGACGCAAATAATGTCTTAGAAAGACGCGCAGTTGATAACACCGTAGTGGTGAATTGTACAGAAACCGACCTTTGAAAAAATCGGGCAGATTGTTTAAATGCATTGGGTAGCACACAAGGAGTCATCTTCATTATGTACACGAGACCCAAAACAGCACACGAGTGAGTTTAGCAGTCCGATATGGGGTCAGATCAACTGCTTTTGTGCCCACTCAGGGAGCCCTCAGGTGAGTTCCTCCCAGAATGGTCGGCACTATGCGTCTCCTTGTGTTGAGAGCCGGAGGTGCTGGGACTGTACATCCCACCAAGCGGTGCAGATTCGAGGGGAGATCCATTCATAGGTAAAATGGAGTTGGTTGAACCGTTTGGGCAAAAGTTGAGGCCGTAAACGAGATTCACGAAACGAGGATTCAATTTTCCTGCGGAATGCTCCTACCGCAAATGTAAATTTAAGAAATGGAATAAATTACATCGAGGAACCGGAAAAACGTTTCACCAGTAAGCATAGAATCACTTCCAGCCTGATGCTTGTAACCGACACGCTGCACATGTAGGGCATCAGCCAACTCTTGTAAACCACCTTTGGAGAACTTGTGTTCGGACATTACTGATTTCAGGTCAACGATGCGGGGAAAGAACATATGCAACATAGCCTGGTATTGCGATACGTGTTCAGGCATCTGAAGCCAGTCTGTGCATATTTTCATCATATATGCGAAATCATAAGCACTAAAAAGAAACACATAAAAAACAAACACCAAAACCTGCCTATGAAAGCCAATCCACGTGATTTGGTCATTCAGTGCCAGACCGCTACCGATGAAAGCCTCCGCGAAATCCTGCTGTTCTATTCCATCGCGTTTCAGTTTGTAAAAATCGATTCCACAGTCTTGAAGCAATTGAATAGAATCGGCGGCATGCGTCTCATTATCAACATTCCACTTCAAATTAAATTGGACAGTTGCGACCGAATCTATACACTGTCCTCTTTCACCAAAGAAACTGAAGCCGATTTGAATGGGACGTAACATATCGATATTCACTTTAATATTGTGATATGCTTGGTCGAAAGTATTCACATATTCACCGAAAACCTTTGCCACCACGCCGGGAAACTCGGTGTCTACCGCCACATATCTCGCGCACTTCGCCAACCTCCGTACCATTCGCATACCTTCGTGGAAGTTATTGGCCCAAATGTCCAGGACTCGCGAGGAGGGAACAAATCCGTTAAAAGAAACTTGGCAATTTGTAGAATTCGGGAGATTGTGCAGGCCCTGAGGGAGACTGTTAGGGTGATATTGAAGGGTATGGCCGAACTGTGTTGATGTAGGATTATGGCGACTATGTTGGCTAATGTACATGTCGGTTGTGATAGCCATGTTCCCACGGAAATTATTATATTTTGGGACCGCGGAATTAAGGGGAGAATCAGAGTTAGTGTTTGGACTAATAACGCTCGGAAAACCGTTCTGTGTTACAGGAACAATATCTCGAAATGGTTGCATTGGAGATCATAAGTGGCGCATCCCACGAAGTCACCTGTAAAAACCAAGCGAAAAAATAACTTATGGTCAAGAACAGCATGATAATGCCCATGAAAGGAGTGTACCCATATAACACAAAGGAGCAGAGAGCCCAGCTATCGGTAAGATAATATCCGCGCAAAAAATGAGCCCACTCTGAATAATCTAAACAAAAGAATTTCGTGACCTGATTTACACTTTTACTTCTTAGCTTACAGCCGTTTAACTTTCGTGTTATGCTTAAGATAATAATTGAATTATTTTTACCTCTAATCTGGTATACATTTTGGAACACTTAGCTTGCATTAATGGCAGCCAGATATCAAACTGCAAAGAGAACGGGGATCACAGGTACATGAAAAATGGTGGTTTAGATAACTTATAGTTGTCTTAAAATGTTTTTGAATAAATTTGCTTGCTTGCCTTATCAGGGAATTAGGTATTTGTATTTAACCCACTCAATAATTATTTGCGTCAAATTAAGTCCCCTCTTATTCTATTGGAGAGGGTGTCGGTGTTTTCACTTACCCAAAATTTGCTGGTTTTCATAATTCGTTAAGAGTGACCAGCATCGGGCTGCATTTGATACATCCCCCTACTAAGCCTACATACTCGCCTGACGCTGACGTGTTCCCATCCCGCAAGTCGGGTAGGATATTCTATGCTTCATAGCGGAGATTGATGTAAAAATTTAGGATGAAAAATGCACCAAGCTTTATACTGGTAAGCAATAGTTGAATGAACAACACACCTTAATTTACTAGTTTACAACACCGAGCATAGAGAAACAGTACATGCAGTATTTTGCCCTTATTATTCCACATTATTCTCCAAAATAAGTCTTTACTAAAATTGCATAAAGGTAATTTACCATGGGAGCTTATAAACAGCCCTAAGGCCTAGACGAGTTGTGGGGCTACTAGCATGGCTTAAAGTCCACACCACCAAGCGGAGGTACAGCCTCTGAAAATCTTCGCGCACGTGTTGACCAGTACACAGTTAAACGAAACGCCCCTTAGCTATGTAGGAACAAAACTGGTCCTGACGTCAAAATGAGACAGAATTACTAAAGCATGTTGTAATGCTTGCATATCTAGTTCAACTCTGCGTTTGGTTGAGCGAACAGATTCTACTTCCTCTGGGCGACACAGCCTAAGGCAATGGCCTTCACTTCGTCGGTAATACGCTTTCTGCCGTAGTACTATGACTACTAGCGACTTCATGAAGGCATCGGGGGCACTGTGCTATCTCTCCAAAATTATCTTTTAAATGTAGTTCGCTTAGTTGAGAAAAGAATGTAGACGATTCTACAATGCTACTGCAAAAGCTAACCCCAGACAATAACCCAACTTTCCAGATGGCGGTAATTCAAAGCTTTTCATGTGCTACCGGAAACAAGTGGCAGCACATGTGACCCAGTTGAATTTATTGGCATTGTGTGAGGTCGAGTAATCTAAAATTACTCTTATGCATGTTCCAAGATTATTTATTAAATAAGAAAATGAGTCGCTGTGTTTCTTTTGTAGTTTACGCAAGTCTGACTAAATGCCCCCCTTCTGTAAGGGGATCACTTTGAATTAAATTATTTCAGTCGGGGTGAATATAATGCAGATCTACGTACAATTCCTGCTCAGTGAGCGAGATGGCTGTGGATGTTTGGATGGAAGCCGCCTTAGTAGAATGAATGAGTGGACTGTTCTAGATCATGATGCGGGTACGGTAGATTACTGCGGGAAGGCCTTCATACCCATCACTTTCGACTGAGTTCGCACCCCTTTATTAGTGCCGAAGTGAATCAAGTGGTGGATTACAATAAAAGTGCTGAATTAAGGGGGGGGGGGGGAGGGCTTGATTTTGCATGATTTTAGTGCTCCTCTTTTAATCAAAATTTAAGGCTGCTTACAGCTGTTCCGTGTTATAGCCAAGCTAATGAAGTGACAAAAATTAAACCAAATGGATGCCATCATCGAAGCTTGTGATGAGCTTTGATTGTGTGCAAGTAATTGACAAAGAAAATGAGAATATGCGCTTTTCCTAAAGTTGCGGAAACCACTTAATTATGGTTCAGAAGCTCATATAATTGACGTGAAATTATCGAGTAATTGTCAGAACGGTCTGCATCGTCTTAGTCTAGAAGTCACGAGAAATGGTTTCGCGAACACAATATCCTCATCACCTTTTAGCAGTAGTGAAACGGCACAACGGAATAGAATCGACTCCACTGAGGGCTGGAAAGAGCATTACTTCCAAAATCGTGGAAGGGACGATTTATGGAAACCATCCAATCGTCGAGATTTCAATGGACTTCCCTATTCCGACAAACTCCACCATTCTTAACACCTCGAAGCGAACCCACCAACCTACGAGACTACTTCAAGACGCGTTCTTACCCTGAAACCCCCACTAAGCTAGAACTTTAACGCATTCACTAGGCTACGCACTCGGTGAGAGCCACATTGATCTTGGCCTCGGCGTACAACCCACACACTGCCATTCACCTTTCGGTGATCACAACGCGAAGCGTGTCGCGTGGAAAGCAGAGCACTCACACGCTAACCACCCTCACAGTGAGTAAAACCACACAACACCCCCATAGGTGGCCAACCGATCACAGACAACCCCAACACAATGCGAGCCGCGAGGCATCGAGCCGCATTGCATCTCCCCACGAAGCACTGCCTTATCAGCACTAAAGGTACTCCCAACAAAGCATGGACTATACAATTTCTTGAAAACACTCAAATCTATTATTTCTAAAGGATTGAATTCGACGATGACTCTAGATTTCATTATACTTTTGTACAAAATGAAACAATCATATGTCTGTATAGAAAACGTGCTCATAGCTTGTACGGAGACCACACAAACACGCACATGGGTGGGAGTGGGGGAGAGCGAGGAGAAAGACAGCCGACCTCATGGAGAAGGGACGTGTGTCATTCATTGTAGAATAGCATAAGTGCCACAATATACGTGTCTCGAATATAAGGTGGAAAAAGTGCGATTCACGGGAGAAAGCAAGTTGTCATGACACAACTCAAATAAAGCATGGCACAAAAAGCGGGTTTGTGTAAAACCGTATGTACCGGCGTGAAGGGATCCTATTTGCAGCAAAAACTCCGCGAAAAGGAGATCACTTCCAGAGTTTCTTGATTGAAACGTTTTTATCTGAATCCTTCTGCATAACCTATCGCAAGCAAAAAGACATCAAATAAAATCTTACCATTATGGTAATGGATTTAAACGAGTTAAAAAAATCAAAGGAACTTTCAAAAAATGTAACAGAAGCAATACCTTCGCAACTGCCATTTCAAAGTCTTCCAGTGTCACATGCACACGGCGCTCCCGCAGGGCGTACATGCCAGCTTCTGTGCAAACTCCCTTTACTTCGGCACCACTAGCACCGGGCATCAGTTCAGCTATTTTTCTAAGATCAATGCCCCGAGTTAAATTCATCTTTCGGGAGTGGATCCGCAATATATCCAAGCGGGCCTCCTCATTAGGAGCTGGAAACTCAATTTTGCGATCAATACGACCGGGACGCAGAAGCGCGGAGTCGAGGATATCTATCCGATTAGTGGCCATCACAACCTGGATAAAATGCGATTATCATACAGCGCCACAACATACTTTGATGTTCTGTTTGGGTTCAAAGCCATCAAGTTGGTTCAACAATTCAAGCATGGTTCTCTGAACCTCGCTATCACCACCAGAACCACTTTCCAAACGAGTTGAACCAATGGAATCTACTTCATCCATGAAAATGATTGACGGAGCATGCTCTCTGGCCATAACGAAAAGTTCACGTACCATCCTCGCACCTTCTCCAATAAACTTCTGAACAAGTTCTGAGCCACTCACACGAATGAAAGTACATTCGGTGTGATGGGCAACTGCCCGAGCTAAAAGCGTTTTCCCGGTACCAGGAGGGCCATACAGCAAAACGCCTTTAGGCTGAGCAATTCCAAGAGCCTCAAACAACTCCGGATGTTTAACAGGAAGCTCAATGACCTCTTTAATCTCCTTTATTTGCTTATCCAAGCCACCAATCATTTCGTAGGTTGAATCGGGCACCTTCTCAACCATCATGAGAGAAACCAGGGGGTCGACTTTGCTGGGAAGAATTTTATGAAGGGTGTAACTGTCATTTCTGAGAGCTACACGGCAATTCGGTGTGACCGATCCGATATCTATATTTTTATCAATGTCGACAACAAATTTCCCTTCAGGCTGAACTTTAACTAGAACTTTTTTCTTGTCCATTGGTTTGATAACTTCACCAACGTAGGAACCTTGTTCTTGAAGAAGCTGAAGTTCCTCACGTAAGAGTCGAACTAAACTTTCATAAAGGTAACGAACAATACCTTTGGCATTCAGCTCATTCCGCTGAGCTCCCAACCTTCTAAGATTCTGCATTTTTTCCGTAACAGTGAACTGGAGTTCATCAATTTTGCTACAGTAATAGTCTCTAATGCCATCAGTTCCTTCAATTAGTATTTCCTTTGTGTCCTTCTCAAGAGTTTTACGCAACTTCCGGGAAGGATCTGATGTCATAAGTCTTGGTGAAGTAACAGGCATATGCTCCACGTCCTGATGTTAGGGAAAAACAGAATTTTAAGTACACAAAGCTTGCAGACTAATAAACTAGAATAGTCAAAATAAATAAAGATTTGCAGGGCAAAATAAGCCTCAGAGAAACAACTTAAACAAACAGAGCAGAGACCACCCACTGTCGCAGCCATGACTACAGCAAAGCCCTCAAAAGTGAGCGTGTGTCATCGGCACATTAAAACAAGAAAATTATTTCCAGTTTAAATAGGAATTCAATTTTTCAAAACTCTTTTATAAAAGCTATGTAAAAAGTACAAAATTCGCATATCGCAATCAAAAGTGGATTAGCTTCACTACGAAGCTACCCAGCTGCGTTCAGAATTGCGCCCAAATCCAATGTGCTTACTTACAGAACAGCTTCGGGCATAAAACGAGTGATAACATCCCAAGATAGGAATCGCCTACCTCGACACCCCCTCCTGACATCAAAATGAAAAACGTACTGAGGTTAGCGCCACCCTGGCACCGGCTTCCGAACCCTCCACGCAATCCGGCTGTGCCCAAACCCATCCAGGCCCCTCACAAACAGCCAAAAGCAAAACAGCTAGCCTCGGACAGACACAATATATGTACACGGCAAACAGGATATCGTATTTAGCAAAAAATGTGCGAATGAAATCAAGCTTTGACCTTCTTATCAATTTGTGCGGGATTGATGACAGATGAAGATTTGCGCTTTTGTGCCACCGATGCACCGGCGCCAGCACCTCCCGGCCCGCTCGGATTAGTTGACAGCCCCGTGACTCCACCTGTACCGCCTCGCTGCTTTCCCTTGTCCTCCATATCTATTATTTCGCGCTCGATTAAGGTGATAAGCGTGCTGCACCGCCGTTGCAACTCCTAGAACAAATTTAGGCGTAAATAAAACCATTCGATAACTATCGGCTGACCATAAAAGCGACGCACCATGGAGGTTCGGGATCGAATAAACCAATTAAATCGAAACTGGGGCGCCAGCCGAATGGCTAGCCGAAGGTCATCATATACATTGTCACGATCAAAACCGAGCTTGTGGAGCATGCAAATGAGGAACCGATCATCTTCCTCTGTGTAATTCTTGCCCTTATTAGGACCATACTGAATTCGCAATTGATGGAATGGGGCGCGGTAACGACCCATTTTAATATCCAAAGCACGCTTCACAGCTGCACGTCGCTGTATCTTCGCTTCTCCACGCTCAATCTACGAGAAAAACCATGGAACGGGACAGGTTTCATGAGACATTTGGCAGTTGGAAATCAAAATTACTACAAACCTGGGCCATGTGTTTATCCACATCCTGGAGCTCACTACATCGGGCCCAAAACACTCGAGCATAGCGTTTAACTTCCTCGGGAGATTTGCCCTCTACATCGAGGGAGATCGACTCTAAATCGTCACGGCCATGTTTCTCGTTGGCCTTGATAAACTGCTGAAAGTCGCGCTTTGACCAGTTTGTGAAGCCCTATAGAAGGGAATAAGGTGGTGAACCACCAACGATGGCACCATTAAAGACCACACAACACAGAACCAAACCAACCTGAGTCAAAAGCTCCTCCTTCTCTGCCAGTTCAGCCTCATCGAGTGGAGTAGCATCGTCTATCTTCGCCTGCTCCTCTTGACGTTCGCGTTTACCTTCCGGGCCGGCATCCGGATTGATAGGCACTTTATAGCCTATGCTTTTTCTAGACACAAGATAGGATTCATAAAATCTTTCGCAAACAAGAATGCACCATGTACTCAAGGTGGAAATCATTGGATATGCTTACCGAAACGCATAAATTTCCTTATCAAGGAGTTCAAAGAGACGTGGGGGGAAAAACTGGAAGTCCTGAATGTTCGGCTGCTTGGGCGGGCGTGGTGCTTTGGGCGCTTTCGGCTCCGACACTCGAAGGGCCTCGCGAAAGTATGCGTCTACCGCGTAGTTGGCTTTGCGCTCTCGTTTTGGCGGCTCAATCCAACCCTGGAACACAAAAGAAAGGTGCTATAGGACTATTGATATAAACTTCACGGACGTGGTGAACCGAGGCCAGTGGCTACTAACCAAGTATTTGGTAATAGTAATGGGAACAAAGGATAGAGTGGCCAAATCCTGCACAAGCCGTTAGAGCTTAGGTTGCATTGAATGGGGAGCAATAAGCCGAGTATAGTGGGAAGAATGTGGCAAATAGTCTACACGCTTCTTACTTTAGGTAGACGCTAAAAAAACCCCAAAAGGGTAAGGTTGGCACTGAGTAAAATGGAGTAGAGTCCACAGTTGGGCACAACAACTTACGGCAAGTGCACCGGAGTTCTGTTGTTTAGTTCGATAGTCCTCACCATCGAAAATGTAGACAGAGTCGGGCCCCTCGTCCTCCGTGTCAAAGCGCAACTGTCGCAGGTTGGACTCACCCATCTTGGCGTACTTTTCATTCAACTCACTAGTCTTCTGCTCCCCACGAGCAAGAATCTCGTCTATATCCTCATCCTTAATTGTGCTCTCCTTGCTGCGGAAAATGTAGTTGGCACCGAATTTGATCATATCGATGACTTCCGTCTTTTGTAATTGATTGGACTTCTGATCAACAAGACGCCCTGCAAGAAAGGACGCCACAACATGGAAAACTATGCGCGCAATTTAGACAGTAACAGTGACGACCAAGTATACAACGTATGAACGAAGAGTAATAATAGAATGCTAACACATGGAAGCAACAACCCATTAATTCCAGGACACATAAACACATAAACCGCAAGTCCTTGACAGAAAAGTTAGGGGCCAGACTGTTTACACTAGAGTTAATTATTGGTTGTTGATACCAACATTTTTAATGATTTCGCGATGTGGTCACAGAGAAAACGAGTCAGACCAAGCCATCAGAAAAAAGGGCAGTTGACTGTGTCGAAGATGTACTTGTAGATAAGCAATGATAAGCAGAGAAATCGACCAAACGTACCCTGTTGAATTACAAGGTTATCCAAGTAGAGTTTCATGTCAGCGCGCATAACGATCCTCTCCTCCACAGTGTTCTCAGTGATGAGACGAAAGACGCGTACTGTCTTTGTCTGACCAATACGATGTGCACGGTCCATGGCCTGTAAATCTACCTGAGGATTCCAGTCTGAATCGTAAAGAATGACCACATCAGCCGTGGCCAAGTTGATCCCCAGACCACCGGCACGAGTGGAGAGCATGAAAATGAACTTCGTCGAGCCAGGACGATTAAACTCATCAATGGAAACCTACATTGTTGAGAGAGAGACTTGATGCTTGTATTGACGGAAGAGTTTTGAGAAAGTGGGGCGTGTTTAAAACCTTACTTGCCGGTCATCATGGGCTGTTTGACCGTCTAGTCGGAAATACTCGTGTCCCCTCCACATGCAATAATCCTCGAGAATATCAAGGGTCCTTGTCATCTGACTAAAAATCAGAACTCGAGAGCCCTGTTCGCGCAGCTTCTTCAACAACTTATCCAAAAGAATCATCTTGCCACAATTATCCACCAAATGCTGGTCGGTGGTATAAGGGGGACCCGGTTCTACGCCATCGAAAAGGTATGGATGGTTGCAACACTTTCGAAGTTGCATCAGGACGTTCAACAGACGCACTTTGTCGGCCTTCTGTCCATTGGTATTGACAAGATCGAGATCCTTCATGAGGATCTTTGTATACAGCTCCCGCTGCATTTTACTCAGACCAACGTATATCTTAATCTCCTTCTTTGGAGGCAGCTTCTTTTCGACATCGGCCTTCACACGACGCAGAAGGAAAGGCCGGAGGATCTAAAGCAGAACACGTGGTTGAGCCAAACATTAACGTACCGAATGAAGGCGGGTAACTAGGGTTTCTTCCTGGAGGGATTGTGAGTTAAAAAGTTCGTCAAAAGTGTCGGAGGAGATGAACATTTGCGGCATCAAGAAGTTAAGAAGTGCCCACAATTCGTGAAGATTGTTTTGAAGAGGGGTGCCGGTAATCAGGAGGCGACTCTGCGAAGTGAACATGCGCACGACCTCTGAAAGCTTGGACTTCTCATTCTTTATGCGATGAGCCTCATCAATCACGAGGTAGACAAAGTTATAGCGCCTCAAAAGATTCTTCTCTTTTATGCACATTTCATAACTTGTGATTAAAATATCCCAATTTCCAGGCAAAATTTCTTCACGGATAACACGTGCCTAGACGATGAAGCAAATAACAGACAAATGACATACTCTTTCGTCAGCGCTCCCTATTAAACAAACAGGGTGAAGGGTAGGCACCCATTTGCGGACTTCATTCATCCAATTCGAAAGCGTCGACTTTGGGACGATGACGAGAAAGGGTCCAGACTTGCCCCGATAGTGCTTTACGTAACCCAGCAAGGATATTGTCTGCAATGTTTTACCCAGCCCCATTTCATCTGCAAGTATTCCGTTGGTGTTGCTTAAACCGAGACCAATCAACCAATTCAGACCACGGATTTGATAGTCCCGCATTTCACCACCCTTTACATCTGAAGCAATTCAGTGCAAATAGAAAAGAAAATTACACCATGGTGTGACATCAAAACGTGTTATTATAGCATTGCTGCCTTTCTTAGTTTCAATAAGAAGTTCCTCGTCTTCCTCCTTTTCTGTACGTCGATGACGGTGACTACAAAATCAAGAAATTGAAAAGACTCACTCTGGAGCAGACAGTGGAGGGGCATGAGAACTCGAAGGACTACTCAAAGTGGCACCAGAATCAGCTCCGGTTTCCTTCAAAGCAGTAAATGCAGCAGCTTTATCCAGCAACTCTTGCATACGGCGTTTCTTCAGCTCAATCTCAGCGGCATCAAGGTTGATTTTACTTGAGCCATTGGCAAATTCGCCAGTCAAGAGCTACAATGGTACGCAAGCATTTAACGAGAAAAAAAGACTTCAATAAACGAAATAAGACAAATTCAACTAGTAATGTGGAAGCTAAAATATTACGAAGGGGGAACGAGGGACTATTCAATGGATATATGACAGCCATGCGAAAAAACCAGACACTATGATCTTGCAAATCACCGAAAGATACCTCCTCCTCGACGTCGGACATTCAAGCAAATTGGGCAACAACAACACCAATCAGAACAAAGGTTCGAATTTCGAAATGTATTAGGCGGCAAATCTACTTATTGAAACACTCTTTTTTCCTTGCAAAAAAACCAATTATAATTAGTATTTTATTGTTTTTATTAAAAATAACTGCTGGTGATTCCAAAACCTTTTGCTTTGAGGAGTTATGCAGTCTTTAGTCAAGTTAATACTTGGTTTTAATGCGCTGCAATGAAACAAACAAAACTGTTTTTTGTATTGGCTTTTAAGAGTAGACTTTAAGCTCTTGGAGGATGTCGATTAGTCTCAAAAAATTTCACTAGTCACTTTACTAAAATCAGAAAACATATTTCTCACATCGAAATGCAAAAGCCAGTACTGAAAATTGATCCTAAGTCATCTGAATAAACCTCTCCGAATCAGCCCCCATTATTCTTGTCCATTAGCTAACACCCTGATCGGCGATTATTTTTGCCAATAACGTTCCTCTCCGTTGTCTCAATTCACATCGAACGTCCATGAAACGCACCCCGATCTCACCAGCCATCTCCGACCCTCCAACGAAGGATCATGTAGCCCACACCCCTGGACTAAGGTGGTCGGTTCCAGGTCTACCGCCTCGAAGAAAACAAATTGAACAAGGATGACCCTCGCCCACGAAACGCTCATAGAGCATCACTACGTCTCCATTAGTGTAATTATGCCCCAAATCTGGCAAGTGCCGAGAGCAAGCATTCCCAAACCCCATCTTGAATTTCTATTGACATACATTAGAGTACAAACCCGATGGCACATTTTAGAATAAAAAAAAAACAAGCAAGTGTATGATGTGTGGATAACACATTTAAAACCTATATCTGCATGCGAAGGCCTTCAAAAGGAGGTCAGCTTGGTCATCCCTGCCGATGCCGATACCATTGACTGTTCAAGCAGAGAGTTCAGCTCTTTCCGAAAAATAGCCTAAAAGGAGGTGAGAAAACATTCTGTACGCTTGAATGAGATCCCAAACTACCTCCTACTCAATCACGCGATACGTTAGCGAGGAGGCCCTTAGGCCCGTACACCAGCGTTAATCCAGTGTCTGGCAGGGTGGGGATGGACAGGAGGGGCAGTAACCGCGGCCCCCCTACTACTCACCTATAGACCTGCTTGCTCTGCTTCTGGCGCAGCAGAGAAGATTGGATCTTTTCGCGGATATTCAGCATCGCTGCCCGGCTATAGGAGGGAGGTGCTACAGGAGCGCTGCGGCGGCTAGACAACTACAGAGAGCGGTGAGGTGTTAGACGAGTAAAAAGTGGAACGAACCAGAGTGAGGCTTACATGGGAGCGAGCCACAGCGTTGCGAATGCCACGCTCGACCGATTTGGCGGTGGCAGTGGCGGAAGGCGTGCTGGTGCTCATCTCCGCTACAGTGCTCCGCCCAGAATTCCCACTGAAGGCTCCGAGAGCAACAACCACGGAGAGTTCGCGCCGACAAGATTTCATTGCGTCGTTCAGTGCCTTCTGTACTGCCACCGTGTATGCCAACTTTGTGCGAGCCTTGCTTTCCGCCTGGGTCAAAAATTTGCAAAAAAAGTTGGTGCTTAAATATAACGCAAAAGAAAAAACAACTCCTGGGTGATTATTACATCTAATGTATTATCCTTCGCGAAGTTGTGCCGTTGGTCGACTCATTCATGATAAAATTCAATTCTGTCAAGAAATTCCATAAAAATGGGTTTGTTAAAACAAAAAAGGACTGAGTCCGCGTACTTTAATCAAGATCCCAAAAAGGTGCTTACCGGGTACAACTTCACTCGATCCCAAAAATTCGACCTGACTTCAAATCAAAGATGGCTGCTGGCCAATTTTTTTTTCTAATCTAGTACCTCTACATAGAAAACCAGCCCAAGCTATTTGAACATATTTGTAATCGACCAGAAAATCATCTCTAATTTCTAGTCCTATCCTGTTACCCAGAGGAGATTAATTATGCCAACGTTACTATGGAAATCTTTACACTCGGTTAGGTTGTAACGGAGTATAGGCCTTTCTACAGAAACAAAATCGTTGCTATTCAACATTGGCTCGGGAAAGCCTCTGCGCTGTTACTTTCTCACAAATGTAAACAATACAGCCTTCCAAAAGTGAATAGATACTGGGGCGGCGCAAGCACAGTATTTGGAGATTCTGCTTAACGTCAGGAACGGACTGCTTACGAATTAGTAATTGTTCCCATTCAAAAGGGGTGGACAGGGCATGGAGTGAGGACTTTCGATAACAGTGGGAAAAGTCCACTCACCACAGGAGCCCATTCACGCATGATGGCCTCTTCAGTCTGGTCGATGTCGCCTCCACTGTCATCCTCCTCTCCCTCTTCCAGTGGCTCCGCATCTTGATGTGTGTTGTCGTCATCAACTATTTCCCCTTCCTCCTGTTCTGATTCCTCCACTGCGTCCTTGCCACACAAGTCAACCTCTCCATTTTCTACGGAAGGCGATTGGGGAAGTGGAGCGCCTTCAGGTCCTGATGGCTGATTGAGTGTAGCATCATCGCAGGGTTCATCGGAGTGTCTTAAGACAATGCATTATCAAGAGGTATCAATATACCTGCCGTAGAGATTGTGTATGGTTGATTAATGCCAACTTTATTCACCTCGACTTAATATCAGCTGCGAATAGCCAGAATAAGTAGATACGAGCACTTAAGATTAGGTGCCAATTTGAACGTGGACGATATTAGATTAACAGTAAGCAAGTATACCAATAAGCCACTAAAGCGAGAAAATTTTATCGCTGCATTAACACGAACAAGATGATTCAGTTTAAAACGTTCGAGAAGCAATCTAATCTGTGCCTTAGAGCTGAAGTTCTTAACATATACCTACCCAGACTCATTAGCAACATTTTCGGTTATGGAGTTATCAGCTTCTGCTGGAATACTTTCGATATCCATATCAGCAGGAGACGGAGAGCGAGATGTAGGAGTGGAGATATCATCTTTTGCACCCGCTGCAGCCTCCTCTTTTGGTCGGGACGGCGGCGTATTTTGCTCGATGAAGGAATCAAAAATATCAAACGCATCCATCATGCATTCTGTATCGGATCTAAAATATTGGACGCATTAAGTATGATTAATGAAAACACCTCAAGAGAAACAAGCAGCCGGTGATGCCGTGTACCTGTCTATTCTCACGGCCTTTGAGTTTCATGTAAACCATGATTTGACGATTCGACGTACCTCAGCATATAGGCTCGATGTAACTATGACGCCCTATCACAACTTGGTTTACATAGCAACGACGTACTGGGGAAGGCTGGCCACTTTATTTGGGTCTTCACTATCTTAGGGTCGTCTAGTCCTTGGTGACACTTCGTCACCTCTGACGCATACGATTCTTTATATATTACATTTGTTAATGAAAATAAGTTTTAACAACAGGGGAAAGCCAGACGGCATAGGGGGCTTAACAGTCAAAGCAGGAGCGACATGACAACCCACTGTGATATTTCCTCCAGCTCTTCATCGGAACGGGAGAGTTGGGCCAGGAGGGCATCCGCCTCATGTGGACTCACATCTGGTGCAACCGATGTGATGTAGAAGTTGCAAAAACTCTCAAGCGAGCGTTCCACGAGTGCTTGCAAGTCCTCACGATTGAAAGGCTCGTCGATGTTGATTATCGTTGAAAGACCTAAAGAGCGACGGTCTGCGTGGATAGAGAGGAACTCACCCGAGGTTTCTTGTGATAGAACCATAATCAAGTCTGACATGTTTTCTGCAAGGCGTTGAAGACTTTCGTAGATCTTTCCGTAGATAACACTGGAAGCTGCAGTCGAACCCACGTTTTTAAACCGTTTGAACAATTGTTCCGCTAAAGCAGAATAAAGTGAATAAGACAACAGCGAATGCAAAAAAAAGCATAGGAGTGCAGAAAGAGGACTAACTATTACTACAGAGGGCAGGGGCATCCGTGTCCCCATCTGGCCCAACAGCTTCGTGGCCATTTTGCTTAAGCCGGAGAGTTAGCTGGAGGCGAATGCGCATAAGATCCTGCTCCAGACAGGCAAGTTCGGGGTGTTGAAGTTCGGCCAGACGCTGAATGAGGGCGTGGGCGGCGCGAGCGAGGGAGAAAAGGCGCGAGAAGCGCCTGCGAAGACGAGCGCACCTTGCCACTGATGCGTATATCGTCGATCCACCCTCGCCCAAACTCCGACGTCCCGCCTTCATCACATCACATGCCCAGGAGCGCAGTCTGCCTGAAAATGTACAAAAAGAAGACTTTGTAGTCGATGGGAAGACCTTCAATTTAGAATTTGCACAAGAATAAGGGAATTCACACGTGCGGCTACAAACTAGCATGCTGAAAGAGGTAAGCGCAAACAACCAGATAGATAAACATAGATATGTGGCTTTATAGAGACGGAAAACGAAGCCATAACATCCTTATATTCTTGTGGTCATGACATTTTACATAATTCAACCCCATACTTCTCGTGAAGAAAATCGTGGATTCTAAAATCAAGCAAAGTGTCGACGGCAGCAACAGCAAAAGAATGCTACTACTAGTTGTGTTCACAGGTATGTGTGGCTTTCCAGTCTCCTGCTATTCGGCCCTCACAGTAGTAATGTGACATCTACACTATACTACTCAGCGCAGCAAGGTATGAAAGCATTTGCGGATACCTGAAAATGATTTTATTTAAAAAGATATATTAGTTGCTACACAAATAAGGACTGAGAAGAAAGGAGCCTGCTGCTAGTTGACTCAATTCGACTACACGCGAAAAACAATTAATTCAGGTTACGCTACTCAAAAAAAATAACCGACGAAAGTCAAAAGGCCAGACGATCCCATTTTTGCATAAAAAATACTGCATTTATGGGAATTTGATACATGTACCTAATTCACAGACGAAGTAGGGAAGAGAATAAAAGCAGCAAGCTTTTTTATGGGAAAATGCGTACACACTTACCTAGTGGAATGATTTGAAGAGCCTCACGATGCCGGAATTGAAGTAGACGGTTAAGTGAGGCATTTTGAATATCTTGAATGCTTTTCGTGAAATGCTCAATATCTCGTTCAGCATTATTAACATCGTTGAGAGCAACTAGAAGTCAAAAAACTCACAGATCTCACCTTGAAGCAGCTGCCTGGAAGTTTCCATGTTGATATGTTCAATGATGTCGGAAATTGCAGTATTGGGTAGTTGTGCGAGGCCTTCGTCAAGCCGAGATATACAATTGAAGGAACCCCAGTTTTGGGGATTGGAGTAAAATTCTGCAACATCACTGCATGTTTCCGTAAGTTTATGCAAAGAGGACGAAATCAAGTCTAATAAAAAAGCAAAACAAAAATAGCAAGATCTAATAATTACAGAGGTGCCGCTTTTTGTGTAAGTTAAAATAAGTTGCACATGATAACAAACGTGCTAAGACCACAGAACAAACTCAAAATCATCCAAAGTATTTTAAGTAGGACGAATAAATGCGAACGACTAAGAATCTGGGGGATCGGTGTGAGTGAACTATTGTCAGTCAATCTTCAGAAGCAATAAACCAAATTAAGCAATTAAGCAAATACACCAAAAATTAAACATGACTAGTAAACCGCATGACTACGAACGGGATTTAAACGAAATCAGCTACAAACTCGGCCACAATTAGCTGAAAGTCTTGAAATCTTTTTGCGCATACCTTGGATGTGAAATAAGAGCAACAAAATAATCCAAAAAACCTACCCCCATTTCTTGTTGCACTGAACGTACTTATGATATTTTCTGCATAATTCTCTACCAGTTGTTGAAGATTTAATAGTGCATCGCCGCCAAGCATTGCGTACAGAAAGGTCTTTACGATTGCGCAGCTAAATAGGGCCTAGTTAAAGTAGAAGCATTGTGAATAAAAAGCATGCACCTCTGGGGTACAGAGGCAGTATTTGCAAAGGAAAAACATTGTTTTTCAAATGTACACTATATGGCCTAAAAACAAGGGCTATTTTGTGAAATTATTGCACTTATTTTTATGTTAACGACTACAAAAATAAAGTCACTTAAGAAATTTTTGAGGCTTATTTAAATCCCTTGAGTATTTTATCGCTTTCTGTTCTAAAAAATTCAATCACATTCTACCCCAACGGGATGACATTTTAATGGGAAGGCACCTTGGTTTCCAACATATTTCTTTTTTGAAATTAAACTAAATATTGGCGGATCTTCTTCCAAAACCTAAGGACTAAGTATTTTTGCATGTAGGTCGGAACTATTGTAGGGTCCCGAGACTCCCTGAAGACGAATGAAGACACAATGCTCGGACAGAATACATATATTCAGCGCAGAGAAGGCGTCTGGGCTATTGACATGGCCCAAAAGGCCAGCCCACCCAGTGAGGTACAAGAAGGCTAATTCAAAGTATAAAAGTGGCGCCTCACCAGAACCGAGGGATAAACCACCATCGTATTACATAGCCTCCCTCCTCTTTTGAGCGTCGTCCCCGGTGCTCCCACAGGTCAACCTCCCGCGTCAGCCATTACAACGTAGTCGGTGCAGTAAAGAAACACCCACGAGCCGACTGTGCCAGTCACCAAATTAGCGCGCAACATGACCTCAACGTCACTGATCCCTCTTGGCGACTTGACTGCATCTGGGGTTTCGTCCGGTTTAGGGATTTGATTCAGGACGGGGAACTGCGTCGGCCATCACGCGTGTCCATAGATAGGTGCAGGAGCACTGGCCTAAAAGCAGATTTGAGTAAGGGAATACAAGATTTAAAACAGGTCTATGGGGGACGGAAGGGAAAATCCGTAACGAAACTTCCAGATGGTTCACGGCTAGTGTCGCTTCAGTTGTTAATAGCTTTTCTGCAGAACACGGGACTCGGAGAGATGCCGAAGGTAGATGTCAACATCAACCCTTCTATTAGGGGTCATCACCATTCTCCCAACCGTAGCATACGTCCTTCTTCCGCCCCACTAAATCTTATCACGCAGAAGTGGAGAATCAGGATACATGTCTTTCAAGATCGGGTTCGCTTTCCGCTGCCACCAATGCAGCGTCCCGAGACTCCCTGAAGACGAAAGAAGACACAATACTCGGGCATAATATATGTATTCAGCACAGAGAAGGTGTCTGGGCTGTTGGCTTGGCCCGAAGGCCAGCCCACCCATCGAGGTACAAGGGGGCTAATTCAAAGTCCCAAAAGTGGCGCCTCACCAGAACCGAGGGATAAACCACTATCGTATTACACTATTGTCACATCCGCGTCGTACTTTTGCATACTACTGCCGTCTTCCAATATTACTATTGAGTCCCTTGACTTACCTGAAGACATAAAGAATTCTCGAACTGAATATGCATTGTCGACGTACAGCTGGGATTGAGGCTACTGACATGATCCTCGGATCAGGCTGTCAAGCAAGGAAAAATGGCGTAGTCCCTAAGAGACCCGTCACCACACCCGAGGTTATAAAACGATTAACACAACCCATTCAAACAAAGAACTAGCTAATTTTTAGCTAAAATTGTAAAGTTGTCGTAGTTTTTTATTGTTTAAAGTTCTCGTGTAGCTGCGCTTGGGCATTTCAGGGCAAAAAAATGAGCAAATACGAACCTTGTCGAATACTCATGACGCTAAGCGGAAGCACAAGTCGCGAAAAGATCCCACGCATATAAAAACAAAATATCTATTGACTAAATCAACATAATCAAATCCTGATTACTAAAATATATTCGCTATGACCCAGCGAGTGGAATGTTATACTTTGATGAAGGAAACGCCCCGTAGCAATATCACCAATGAAGCATCCCTGTTCTGGTGGCTCTATCAACATAGCTATTGAAGTTCAGACAATTATCCACCCCATTGCGATAATGCTGTAATGTTAAGCTAAATGCCATTACAATAATAGCTTCTTCCCAGGGTTCATGCAAAAAACAAGCTTAAATAAATACTTTTGAAAAGAGGAGAAGGTTGCGTAAGTAGCGTGGGTAGGCACCGAAGTCCGGAAGAAGTAAAGATTCTACCAAACCAAACAGAAGTGGAGGAAATATAGAACAAGAAAACAGGGATGAAATAAAATAAATGGTGCAGCTGTCACTACGTTAGTCCTTTAGCTCTTGACAGATCCGACATTCTGCCATAGCTGGTACATACTGCTCCATTTGAATGGTAACCTCGTGAACCAGGAATCGACGACGCAATATTCGATTGGCGCGAACCAACTGTTCCTGGGCAGATTTAATATTACCTATTGAATGAAGATGTTAAAAAAGTTTGTTATGAAATACAATTCTCGGCATGTCTATTTAAGAATAGAATAGGGGTAGCACGTAATAATCCCAAAAAAGTTCCTACAGCTCTTTTATGGCCTATTCATGTCCGTATGTATATATCCATTATGATGTTTAGAAGTGTGAAAATCCCTTAACATATACCTAATGATTCTAAATTATCGACTTTATGAACCGACTAATTTAGTTGAATAGTAGGAAGAGCATTGGGGGAAAATGTGGCATGTGATATTAGAGCAGAATACTGCTCCAAATTAAACGGTTTAAGCAAAGAAAATCCCCCTAGACTTAAAAATTAGCCCTGAAGCACACGTCAAAATCGCAGAGTATGGAAGGAATGGGGATAATGCTTTATTTTTATCCTTATCCACTACACGCTACTAAACAAACTTTCTTGACATAAGTGTAATACGATAGTGGTTTATCCCTCGGTTCTGGTGAGGCGCCACTTTTGTACTTCGAATTAGCCCCCTTGTACCTCGCTGGGTGGGCTGGCCTTTTGGGCCATGCCAATAGCCCAGACACCTTCTCCGTACTGAATATATATTCTACCCGAGTATTTTGTCTTCTTTCGTCTTCAGGGAGTCGCGGGACGCTACATAAGCATTCGGCAAACACGTGTATAAGTACGAAATAGAGGTTAACAAATGAATCTAACTGACACGGATTTTACCGTTTCTTTATTTGGTGACAAAGTCGTTTTACAGCAGTGGAATTATCTAATAAGCTTGTGTCTACTTAAAGAAAAATGGTTTCACTTAAAAAATGAGACAGACACACGAACTTGTGAAGTGCCCTCATATATTTCATAATGTATAATTAAAATAAGTAAAGCACTATAAAGGTGCCGATGACTAAAAATCTTTAAGAAATTAAGTGGCGCTGGAACAAAGTGTTGCTCCTTATTGACTGTGTGAATTCTCAAAATAAAGTGAATGCCAAGGCAAATAACAAGTGTCATAAGGTACTGTTTTCGCTTTGAATTTTTAAATTCACTAATTTCTAAGATGCGTGAGGGTGGACTTTATCGGAAATTCATATATTTCGTGGCAAGGATAGAGGGTTAATAATGTTGATACTGGCTGAGGGTAAACACCTCAATGGCTTTTTACCTAGCCTAAGAAGTTTTTGGGGCTTTAAATATGTGTAAAATTACATTTCCCGGGGTCATGTGTGCAAAAAGAAAACAAATTATAGCAAATAAATTGTTGTCATTAAACGAATGAGTAGCATATCTCGCATTATGCTACATGACTTACCCGTGGCAAGGTGGACCGAAACAGCAGTCTTACTCGTGGTAAGGCTCCACATACGTAGGTTATGCACCTCCACAATACCTGGAATGGCCTGCAGTGCTGAGCGCACTTCGGCAAAGTTAAGGCTCTTCGGCACGCCCTCCATCAGGATGTTCATCGCGTCCTTTAGTATATTGACAGTGGTCAGCAGAACCAGTACTGAGAAGATGAAGGTGCATATGGGATCGGCTATCTTGTACTCCGGCTAAAAACCAAAGGAAAGATTCGATTAATGCTTTTAAGAGTCGATTATTGGGCTGATGTATAAAGCCAGAAATCATTCTCGCCCAACTGTTGGACGTTCTAGAAGGTCCTAAAACTTGCGTTCTTTCTCAGCCCTCCTGGTAGGCTAGTGCCACTTGCAGATAGTTACTGTGAGGTCAAGGCCAAGCAATATACGATAAATAAGCAAGATTAGGGCCGACCGAGACTAGCATGCATTTACTCACGCTTCGTGTCTGATTAAGAGCTCGACAGGATCCAAGCTCACGCACGGTCGTAGGGACCACGCTATCCCATGGGCCAAAAAGATACGATAATTATTACAGGGCATTCAAAGCTGAAGCTCTGACTTGGCCTAATGAGTGCACAAATTGCCGTGTGGGTCCTATTACAGGCGACCTACATGTCATTCACCTAGATATAAGTGGACAGTCAATGAAGAGGAAAATCCTGAATTCACTAATTTCCACTTCAAGCGCATTAGGGAAGTGCGAAGTTTCGCCGCAAGACACTTAAATAATATAAATCTATCAAAGATGACTACGTTTATCAGTGATACTTCCAGCTGGGGAGGTTTCACTTCCCCGCTCACGCATTCTGTAGTGACTCCTGCGAAATATTAGAGGGTGGGTTTCCCGATTCTGGACGTCCGAAAGAAGCTTAACTCGTCTAAAAACTTAAAAAGAGATAATTTTGTTGAATTAATGAAATCTTCCACGGAGGGGATAACTGCAGAGTACGCCTCTCGTGTTTCAATTCCATCACAAATGCTTTCAATGTAAGGCACGATTAAGACATTGAAGTGTTTTGGAGGTTTAGAGGAGCCCTTACCCGGAAGTAGATGACAAAAGCAGCGATCATAACTCCAAGACTTTGTAGAAGGTCACCAATCACATGAATGAAAGCTGCACGAACGTTGATGTTTTCTTTCTCCTGCTCCTCAACAGTCGTCTCCTCTTTCACCGAGTATTTATGAGAGTGGTGTCCGTGGGGGTGATCAGTAGTGTAGGGCTTTTGTAAGCCCTGTTTGAACTCCCCACCCTCACAGATAGCTGTAGATACATCACCGGTTGGATCGTTGACAAGCTCAACGTCATCCGAGCGTAAGAACTTTATGCTCGATATTTTTTTCTTCATTTTGGAAACAAAGCCGTGGCTATGGATGTGGGAACCGGATTCGTGATTGTGGCTGTGACTCCTGCCTCCGTGATCGTGTCCATGTTGGTGGAGGGTTGCAGCCATTCTATCAAATTCAACACACAAATTGCGAATTAAGTAAATCTACACAGAAAATATAAATGTATAGAACTCAAGTGGCTTACACCATATTTACAGCAACGCCGATGGCAGAGGTAATGAGCATAACCATTCCGTCGATTTCATAGTGTTGATGAATCACTCGCATTATAGCAAGATAGACAAGAATGCCTGTTACTAGCCAAATCATTAAAACTGAGACAAGAGCACCAACGACTTCTACAAGGGAAGAAATGAGAGAAGGATTTACTTGCAAGAAGATTCCTTGGGGATTTAATGAAACCCTTTTCTCCCCCCCCCCCCTCTTAACCCCACCTCGACAAGCCTGTTTCTCGGACTGGAAATGAATTATACCAGAGCACGTACCAGCACGATACCAACCAAAACTCATCATTCGCGTCGCCGGTCGTCCAGACAGAAATATGGCAAAAAGACTGATGAGGAAGCTGGCAAAATCGGTCAGAAGATGAGCCGCATCCGTCATGATTGCCAAACTGCCGGCGAGAGCGCCACCTGAACCCGATCGGTTTGGTTATTAAAAGCTGTTTTTTACAATAACTGATCCCCGAAACGGAGTCATGCATTTCGTGATTCATCTCTCAGTAGGATGGCACAGAGCTTACCAGTAGCTTCACCAATCATGAAGATGAGGCATAGTGCACTAGCAATTAGAAGTTTCCTCCTCGCAACTTTGTCAATTCCTTCTTCATTTGGTCCAGAATGACAGTGAGTCCCTGCGGTAAGAAAAAGATACAATGGCATGCTTTGTACAACTAAGTCCATTTCTTTTACTGAAAGAACATTAGTAGCAACTTACCACCGCCACCATCTGCGTCATCAGGTGGACTCCTGAAATTAGACAAATTGAAGGGAAATTGTACATTCATTTTAAAAGACAAGCCATAATTCTAAGGGGTAGTAAAAAAACCCCAAAACACCACTCAAATTGATCAGTAATACAATGCATAATTTTCTCTCAAAATGAAGATTGAATTTTATAAAATAGTTTGATTACCAAAAGCAGGTACCGGAAATGTATTTCAGCCACTTTTGCATCAATCTGTCACAATTTTGCGTTCAAACTGCTTAAGCTGCGGTTTTGCATCAAAAGGCATTAATAGGGGGTGGGGGGGGGGGGGGTGGGACATGAGGATGAAGTAGCGTCTTCGGCCCCCTGACATCTAAGAGCATGCCATAAGGCCACTTCACCGGGTCTGCTTAGAAGGCCTACAGGGTCTTGCATTGCTCGGGCTTTCCTCCTGACCCTTTAGTGTCTAAACTTGTCCTGGATGTTTTATAAGTACGATACAAAATGACCCGTTAGCTTATCATACTTGTCCCAAGATGTGACCCAGTTGGGACAAAAAAGAATAGCATTTAGAACAAGTACCTAGATATTTATTTCAATTAATTTGGAACCGAATAAAGCATTAGAATATGTAATAAGAGTGACTAGAACAGTGTACTTATTGTCTTCATGCATAATTTACTAGTCAAAAACTGATAATACCCTAAATAGTCGAAAAGTTTCCATCATCTCTATTCTAGGGAAATAACCCATGCCACATAATAAGGAATATTTTTTTGGATAAAATAATATCAACCGAATTGCCTTTACTTGTTGACAAAAATATGCTCGGATTATGGTGTACTTGGGATAAAATAGAGGCCACTCTTCAGTAAAAACAGCCCTCTAAAAAGCTTTGATGTCACTTTAAGCCTACTACATGTCACGGTGACAACTCAAGACGGAGGCATGTAAACAATGAACACGGGTACGAATCATACACTTCCAACAATATCTAAATTTCCGTTAGAAATGCCTAAAAAGGAGAGGAGTGCTACTCTTTGTAAAATTTCTAATAAGAACAATATTAGCCATTTGATAGGAGAAAGTTTAAAAGGCTTCTTACTCCTTAAAGGTCTTCTTAATACTATAGCTGCGTCCTTTCGATTGCATCTCCACATCATCAGCCTGCTCGTAGCCAGTGTGCAAGTCTCCCTCGTTCATGTTGTTAAGTGACGGGATGTACAATATGTCTCCCTCTCTTACACCCCTCCTAAGCCTTATCTCTCCTCCGGTCCTCAACCTCCTTCATTCACTAATTGGTCACACAGTGTGTGTGCGGTGCCAGTTCGTGGGCCACTCCACCAGTCGCTCACTTCCGGTGTGGACGGAAGTTAATCAAAACGATGGTTGTCTCATTTTTAAGGAGATTATCCTAACCATCCAACAGTCTTCTCGACCCTGATCTACGATTACATCACCTCATCAGTTTTGGCAGATGTTCAATTTCGTCTGGATAACGCTATACTTACTCACTTTCAGTGAGCTTGTATCGACACGAAGTGGGACTTGTCCGCCAGTTGCCCTTCGCGCTTGACGTGACTTCAGGGATTCCGTAAGGCAGGCTTCTGATCTACGAGTGTGCCATGTAACTGCATTCTGAATAAATCGTTGTATTACTTGCCCTCAGACACAAATTGGATCAAACTAATCCGATGAATTTACTAGAATCCTCCTTTTTAGAACACGAGTTCATTAAAGAAGTGTTGGGTTTGCATAACTCCACGTCGATTGGAAAACATGAAGTTATCAATTTGGTTAAAAGATACGCTAAGTCCTAAAAAGACCCTCGTTACCAAAAAAGTATTACACGTTCATATGGGCAGTATTAAGTGCGCAAGCCATGTTCTCCATGCCCAGTGAAACATCTCACTTAGTGCTCGGCTTAGAAGAATAATTACGTACGGGCACAGTTAGTGTGAAAAAGTCAAACCGGATTTAAACGGATTTGCTTAGAAATCTCGAAATTTCGAAGTGGCCATACAGTTAAGCTGATATTTAGGTGATGGGTGCTCCTAGACAGCATTTCTTGTAACTATAAGTTGAATTCAGTACACATGTGGAGGGGTTTTATCTTAGGCCCAAACAAGCAATTAGGAGTGATTAATGAATCGAGACACTGGTTGCGCCTAAACAACTTTTCTAGCCGTCTTCCTCTCTAGGACGTAGAATTATGCAGGAGATAGTTAAC